CCCTAGAATGCCAGTGTGGATTTCCACCGTGCTAAGACATTTTAGGGTGGTAGTGTCTGCTTGGTTAGCATTTACCTATTCTGTTATTTTGAGCTGAATAACCACGTTCAGAGGCCTCTGAAGGGTGTCTGCGTCACAAGGCATCCTGGTAAAACCCCAACTAGCTGCCCCATAGGAGTAAGAGGAAAAGAAAAAATGGATTGTCTTGGTAGATAGAGGTTAAAGCCAAACTCTAAGTCCCTTGGTATCTTAGCCCTGGCCAGGTGGCTCACTTGGTTGGATCCTCATCTCACACATCAAAAACTGAGTGGGTTCAATTCCTGGTCAGGGCACATACCTGGGTTGCAACCGATTGATCTTTCTCTTTTCTCTTTCTCTCTCTCCTCCTCCCTTCTCTCCCTTTAAAATGTATAAAAACATCATTGAGTCATGGCTGGTGTGACTCAGTGGATTGGGCACTGCCCTGCAAACCAAAGGGTCACCTGTTTGATTCCTAGTCAGGCCACATGCCTGGGTTGTGGGCCAGGTCCACAATTGGAAGCATGCGAGCATCAATCACACATTGATGTTTCTCTCTCTCTTTTTCTCCCTCTCTTCCCCTCTAAGAATAAATAAATAAATCTTTGGAAAAAAAATCCATTCCCAGTCAGGGTACATGCCTGGTTGCAGGCCATGACCCCCAGCAACCGCACATTGATGTTTCTCTCTCTCTCTCTCTCTCTCTACCTCCCTTCCCTCTCTAAAAATAAATAAATAAAATCTTTTAAAAAATAGACATAAAAAAAATCCTTGGGTAAGGGTTAAAAAAAAATCTCTCAATACTTGAAAATGGATTATGTTGAATCATTTTTGTTAGTTATCTTCAAGCACCTAGCAGGAACAAATGAAAATCCTCTCTAGAGAAAGAACCCATCTTCCTGGGCTTCAAATTATTTCTATAATTAAAAATATATTAATATTAGATGAAATAGTCTTTGAAAAAACCATTATAAGATATAAAGACATTCATCATGATTACTTTAAAATTATCAAGTATAATGTCCAAAATATAAAGCAAACTTTTAAAAGCAAAATGGACAGAACTAGGAGAAAAATATTCACAGAAAGAAAAATTTTAATACATACTTAGAAGGAAATGTAGAACCTTAAATGCATATCCTAAAACAGAATTTGAGCCACTTGCTCATGCTACTTACTTGCAACTTACGTTTGGGCTGAATCTCATATGTATCACACTTGATGAAGTGCTTTGGGTATGTCCACACTTATGACTTGATTGCGTGGTAACTTCCTGGGCCTTGACCAAGCCTGATAAAGACAGAAGCTGCTTTCACAGGACTAATGCCACCTGCAGAGAATGACATGCATTGCTCCAAAATTCTAAATAGTAGTGCTGTAAGCTTCCCTATGTTACACACAATTCATACATGATTAGATATGTATCAGAGGTCATAAAGTTATTTCTGTAAAGAGCCAGATATTAAGTAACAGACTATATGATCTGTTACAACTACTCATCTCTGTCATTTTGCATGACAATAGTGGTCATGGCTATGTTTCAATAAAATTTTATTTGTAAGCGATGACCAGATTTAACCCACGGACAGTAGTTTGCCAATCCTTGAACTAAATTGTGAAAAAAAGATTGGGAGGTTGATGTAGCCTTGACCTAGGGCCATAAAAGTGTGTTGATAGCCTTAGCAGGGTGATATTTACTAGTAACTATCAAGAAAAAAAGCACATGTTTGCTCAATGGCTGCTTATCAGGTGTCACCAGATGTGTTGATTTGCTCCAGCCATAAAACCACATCAGGAGCTGCAACTGGAATAAATTCCTAATTAAACTTATAATGGTGGCATGTCATTATCCAAGATTCACTTGTCTTCTGCACAGGTCAAATGAGTGTACTGAATATGTGATAGTAAACAACTTTCAAGATACTGATAGTGGCATTAGTCTCTGTAACCCTTCCAGGAATATGGTATTGCTTTTGGTTTTCTATTTTGGTATATATGAGGCAAGTCTAGTGTTTACTAGTCCTTTCTTATCAAATATCCCTTGTTCCATTGGTCAGGGAACCAGTTGTTATTTCTATTGCAACTCTGCATTCTGGAACTTGGGAAATCACTCTATAATGGGTTCAGGGATTCATTCAGACCACCACATATGGACCTAAGCAAAAACATTCATTATTTGTCTTTTATAAGGTTTTCTACTAACTGGTGGACCACAGTACCTTTTTTTTTGGGGGGGGGGTCCAGAAAATGTCAGCTCTAGCATCCAGTCAGACCTCAATATTCTAGTTATTCCCACTTACCCAATGCATACCCTCCATAAAATAAGGCTATAGGTCAGTTTGAAGATACCTAGGATGATTTATGGCATGTAGTTTGGGCAGTATAACAGGGTCCTTCCTCAAGGGGACCCAATCTGCTCCTTATTCAGTGTGCTCTGGAAATGGAAACTGACTCATATTATGGAGTTGGCAGAGGAGCCACAACTCATGTTGATTCAAGTCTGACTTAGGTTCACCAGGCCTATTAGTAGGCTAGCCCCAGGGACTGCACAATAAGCAAATGCAAAAATTTCTGTGAATCAAACCATTCTGAAGATTCCTTTGTTTTTGCTGTTCATTGTGACAAACATAATTTATCTCTGCCAATGAAAGTCCTCCACTTGATCTCTGATGCCCCAAGATCCCATCGCCCTCACTGAATTCAGGGAGTCCCATCTGATGTCATAATTTCCTTCTCTCATTCCTAGCTTTTTGAGATGAGTCACTACAGAGCTCTCCAAGATTGCCAATGCTCCCCTGCACCTTTGTATACTTTCTTCTACAACAGTGTTTCTCAAATGTGGACGACTCTGCTCCCTACCCCAGGGATATTTGGCAGTGTCTTGAGAAATTTCTGATTTTTACGACTTGGGGGAAACAGGATGTGCTACTGGCGTCTAGTGGGTAGAGGTGAGAAATGCAGCCAAACATCCTAAATGCCCAGGACAGCCCCCAACAATGAAAAATAGAACAAAATGTCCATAGTGTGAAGGTTGAGAAATTGTTCTACAACATAGAAAGTTCTGGCAGTTTGACTTTAGCATAAGCTAGCTTTAGGTACAGGTTTCAGTCATTAAGTAAGAAACAATCAAAGGCATTCCTAGGAACTCAAGCTAAACCTTAAGTCTGTTCAGTGCATCTGTATCAACACATACAGCCTAATCCAACATTACATTACTGCCACCTGATTCAATATGCATAAGATCCACAACTATATTTCTCAGGTTTCTATTGATATCATTTTTAAATAATTATTTTGGCAGGTACAGTATCTCATCATGGTCACACTTCATACCTTTTGACCTCCCCACCTAGACCCCCTCCTGTGGCCGGCAAGGACTTAAATCTGAATAGATCTAGAAAAAATAGCGGGAGGGGGTTGCGGGGAGAGGAATTGTAAAGGTATATCTTGAGAACCTTAAGTCCTCTGCAGTGAAACTATCAGGAGAGATCATCACAAGGTCTTCAGGCAAGGGGAGACTAACTCAAAGGGGAGGAAGGCCTCCTACTTTCAATGGCAAAGGGGGGCTTTGCTAAACTGAGGTCAAAGGCCTCAGCTTTGTTGGAATCTGGCCATATATTCCCATCTCAATTTTTCTGGGGTCTATTCCTGCCCATTGATACCCTATGATGTAGGAGAATCTGCAGGGTTGTGAAGTCAGCCACTGAATGGATTTGCCTTTGAGTCCTTTAAAAAAAAATCTGATTATATAAAACAAGCCCCCCTAAATATTAGTATGTAGCCAAGCTCAAAGCTAAGATAGGAAAATTCTCAAGGCCAAAAATAGAGAACTTGGCCCATATTGTCAAGTGGCAGATGAAATTAAATTACCTACAAAGGTCAAGAAAACTGGATACACAGCTGGAGTTTAATCTTGGTGTGATGGTAAGGTCAGAGCAGCCACACAATGGGAATGAACAGTGAATACCCAACATTACAATAGAAAGAGCAGCTCTCTTTCATTGGCTGTAAAATGTTTGTTACTAGTAACTATAATACTTAAGTCCTTGCTTTGACATTCTTGAAAAGAAAATTGTGTGATCTTATTGAAAGATTAACAAACTCAATTTTTCAGGCAATGTATACTGTCATAAGGATTGAATTTATACTATATAGAATCAATAGAACACTAGACAAAGTCCAAGATAATAGGACCCAATTTGAAGAGAGGCTGGGGGGCAGGGGAGCACAGGAGGTAATCATAACAGGACAATGTCAATTGAATCACAGTTACATATTGAAGTACTGGTTTTTTAATATTTGAACTTTGTCTCCCTTAGTTAATTTTATTAAGGCTACAATTAGATTTCCTGTTCAAAATACAAATTTTTATGGAATTTTGGAAGTGTTCTAATAGCTTCCAAATATAAACTTTTCCCATTTAAATTTTTAAACATCTTACTTACTTATTTTTAGAGAGAGGAAGGGAGGAAAAAGGGAGAAAACTTCCATTGGTTATCTCTTGCATGCCCCCAACTGGGGGACAGGCTTGCAACCTAGGCATGTGCTGACTGGGAATTGAACATGCAAACTGTTAGTTCACAAGCAGACGTCCAATCCACTGAGCCACACCAGCCAGCACCCCATTTATTAACAAATATTCCATGAAGTACCTAAAGTAATACTATATAGATTCAGAAAAAAGATCTCTCCATTTATAGAGCTTACATTTTTAGTGGGTGTTAATTTTGGGTTGTCTGTCATACTTTTGTACAAGGTCTGATAAAAATCTTACCTGTCTTAAGGCCTCTTTCCTGAGTAACATTTAATAAAAGTCAAAATTCTAACTGAAGCCCTTACTAAACCACTTACACAAGTTCTGTGCCTCCTGACTACTGGGATATATCAAACTGTGGTTGAAACACTGCTTTAATGAAAAACAAAAAAGTTTCTTTTAAACTTGATTGGAAGAAGTCACACGACACTTGAGTTTTTTTAAAAAATCATTTTATAAAACATTTTACCTGTGTGGACACTCTCATTTTCTTACCAGCTCTGTCACTTTTAGAGGATTTATCACCAGCATGGATTCTATGATGAATTGTAAGATTTGATCGCCAACTAAAGTTCTTACCACATATCTCACACTTGTAAGGTTTCTCTCCTGTGTGAACTCTCTGATGAGATTGTAGCTGTGAAGAGCGACTGAAGACTTTACCACATGCATCACATTTGTATGGTTTCTCTCCAGTGTGGACACTCTGATGAAGTTGAAGACTCGAGGCCTGACTGAAGTGCTTACCACACTCCCCACACTTATATGGCTTCTCTCCTGTGTGGACCCTCTGATGCATGTCAAGATTCAAGCTCCACTTGAAGGCCTTCCCACACTCCTCACATTTGTATGGCTTCTCCCCAGTGTGAACTTTTTGATGGGCTTGAAGGTGTGAACTCCGACCAAAGCTCTTCCCACACTTGTCACATTTGAATGGCTTTTCTCCACTGTGGACTCTCTGATGGGCCAAAAGATTTGAGGCCTGCCTAAAGACCTTCCCACATTCCTCACAATTATATGGTTTCTCTCCTGTGTGGATTCTACAATGAATTTTAAGGTCTGCTCTACGACTGAACCCCTTCCCACACTCTTCACATTTGTATGGTTTCTCCCCAGTGTGTATCAGCTGGTGAATCTGCAGTCGTGAGCTCTGATTGAAGCCCTGTCCGCACTCTTCACACTTGTAAGGTTTTCCTACGCTGTGAGCCTTCTGATGGATCTGAAGATATGAACTCTGACTGAAACCCTTCCCACATACCTCACACTTATAGGGTTTTTCTCCTGTGTGGACCACAAGATGAACTTGGTAATGGGAGTTCCTCCTGAAGCTCTTCCCACACTCCTCACATTTGTATGGTTTCTCTCCAGTGTGGACTCTCTGATGTGCTTGAAGATTTGAACTCAGAGTAAAGCCTTTACCACACACTTTACATAGGTAAGATTTCTCTCCAGTGTGGACTCCCTGATGGGCCTGGAGACTTGAGGGCCGACTAAAGCCTTTACCACATTCCTCACATTTGTAGGGTTTTTCTCCTGTGTGGACCCTCTGATGAATGTATAGATTTGAGCTACAAATGAAGCCCTTCCCACACTCCTCACATTTGTAAGGTTTTTCTCCTGTATGGACTCTCTGATGGGACTGAAGATGTGAATTCCTGCTGAAGCTCTTCCCACATGCATCACATTTGAATGGTTTCTCCCCAGTGTGGACTCTCTGATGGTCCTGAAAATGAGAGGCCTGAGTGAAGGCCCTCCCACATGCCTCACAATTATATGGTTTCTCTCCCAAGTGTAATTTACAATGAACAGTAAGCGTAGATCTACGACTGAAGCCTTTCCCACACTCCACACATTTGAATGGTTTCTCTACAGTGTGGACTTGCTCATGATTTTGCAGATGTGAACTCTTACTTAATTCCTTATCACAATCATCACACTTACAGCCGTTTTCTCCTATGTGAACTCTCTGATGAACATGAAGAACTGATCTATGACAGAAGCCTTTTCCACACTCACTACATACATGCGACTTCTCTTTTGAGTGTACTTGCTGATGAATAGTGAAGGTGGAGAGATCATAGAAGGTATTTTTACACTCATTACACTGGTAAAGTTTTTGTCCTATATGAATCACACTATTCCGATCCAATGTTGAAATTTTCATGCTGTCTCTTCCATAATCATTGTAACTGTAAGGTTTTCCACTTCCGTGTGCTCCGTAATTATTGAGGCAACGTGATACCCAACTGATGGTGTCAACATCCTGGTTATACTGTAAGAGTTTATTTTTTATAGAAATTTCTTGATAGTTGTTCTGATAATTCTGGGATTCATTCAAAGAGGTTTTCCTCCAAGAACCTTGTGCTCTCAAAGTTGGAAACTCTGAATTTCCAGTGTCACTGGGACCATCCATTTTATGATTTGGTATATAGTTTTCATCTTTAGAAATTTGAATACATAGTCCTGCCCCAACCTCACAGGTAGAATCACCTTGTTTGTGGAACTGTGAACAATTTATCATGAAGTCTTGACACCTGGTTAAGTCATTTACAATTTGTTGCCAGATCTGCCAGCAGGAAAGCTCTTCACATGCTCCGTCTTGAGCAGCCTTCAACTCACTTTGATTGCTCTCACCTATGTAGACAAAGAATTCAGAGATATGAACAAGTGAAAGTTTTGTTCAAAGATTTAAGATCTCATGCTTATGATATACAGTTTAAGAGTTTAATGAACCTCGGGATACTTTAGCTTATCTTTTTTTTACTACACATGAAATTCTCTGTTTTATATACTGACAGAAACCAGAGGGTGGTCTGTTAAGCTCCCAACCACTTACCATTAATGAAAGCCATTCAAGACAAAATAACTGCCATTTGACATACTATTTAAATCACTGTTCATAAATTACACGTATTTTCTATCATAACACAGCATCAATAAGGAAAAGCATTTTGGAGTACTCATAGCTGTAATAGTGCCTGGCATTAGCAGGTGCTCAAAAATGCATACATATTGAATCACATTTTGATTTCTGGGATTCTCTATAACTCTAAATCTCAGCTTAATTTTGAAGCAAGTCATAGGAGCATAAGTGTTTTTACAAGAAAAGTTTTGGAAATAGCAAAAAGGTTGAAAAGTATAGTTTGCTGAGAGGTTGAAAGGCTGCAAAACAGGCAGTGGCACTCTAAGGGGCTCTACAAGAGGATAAAATCAAGGTGCTAAGAATCACTTGGCATAAAAGAAAAGCTGGATGCCCTGGATTCTTCTGACACTTTTGTACTGTTGAACGTGTTTTTATTTTCCTACATAGGAATCAAAATTTAGAGGCTAGGGAAGAATGCTGTTCTTTGAAAATAACATGAAAAAATTTTTATGGAGATACATTGGCCTTGAACAAGAATGATTTCCAAAGTGAGGATGCACTATATGAGGGGGCTATGAAATAAATTCAGTACTTTGTGATAAGTATTTAGAAGAAACAGACTAGAAATTATCAGACAATTATCATAAGCAGTAAAGGTTTCAGTACATGAAATTTGTTCTAAAGTTACACATATAAATGTATACAAAAATAAAATGCTTATAGAGGTATGACGTAAGATCCATTTCTTACTATGGATGTGGACTTTGGAAGAAGCAAATGGGATGAGCTGTGCAATCTTTTAAGGAAGAGGCTAATTCACAAGCTATTTTCTGAGAGCAGGCAACCAGTACAAAGGCAGTTGATATAATCCAGGAAAAAATTTTGGTGATTTTGACTCAGTGAGGACAAGGGGTGGTGAGAAATGAAACAGACAGTTAACTACAAGAACTCACAATTGCTTGGTTCTCACCTAAATTTTTCTCCATCTGGGGTGATGTCTCTATCATCTAAAGCCTCTCTTCTCTTTCTATATGTGAGGTATCTCATCTGAGGAGTTGATGTCCTAAGAACATGCAAAGTCACAAGTTTCAAATGAATACACAGGAGCTAAGTTACTGGAAATTTGTGTTCCAAATGCATAGTCAAGATACTGAAAGTAGACTTCCGGCCAAGATGGCGGCAGAGGTGGGTGCACAGTGCCTCAATGCACAACTAAGATTAGAACAACAACAAGTTAGAGGCAGAATAACACCCAGAACCGATAGAGAATGTATCTGAATGGAAGTCGGACAGCCAAGAAGTTGAAGTAGACCCGTTCATCCAGACTGGTAGGAGGGGTAGAGAGGAGCAGCCCGCACGGGTCGTGGTGCATGGAGAACAGGGAGAATTGGGCGCATAAGGCAACCGGGAGCGCGTAAGGCATCTGGGGGAGCAAGATTGCAGCGTGTGGACCCTGAGTATGCAAATGGCATCTGGCAGACCCAGTGAGGCGGTGATTGTGGACCAGGGCAGAGCACACAACCCAGGATCCCAGAGAAGAGACTGAAGTCCTAGGACAACAGAGCTACCGCCATTGTTCCCTCCTGCCCCCGCCCCCATCCCCGCCCCCACACACAACGTCACAATCTAGCGAGTGGGGTGCCCAGCCCTGGCGAACACCTAAGGCTCCGCCCCTCACCATAACAGGAGCAACCAGACCAAAAAAAAAAAAGAGAGAGAGAGAGACAGACATGTCTCAAACAGAAGAACAAATCAGTGCCCCAGGACTCATCATTTTAAGCAACTGAAAGATAGCCAATCTATCAGATGCACAGTTCAAAACACTGGTGATCAGGAAGCTCACAGAATTGGTTGACTTTGGGCGCAAATTAGATGAAAAAAATGCAGGTTACCTTAAAAGAAATGAAGGAAAATGCACAGGGAACCAATAGTGATGGGAAGGAAACTGGGACTCAAAACAACAGAGTGGAACAGAAGGAAGGAAAAAACAACCAAACAGGAAAGAATGGAGAAATAAGAATTCAAAAAAACAAGGAGAAGCTTAGGAACCTCCAGGACATCTTTAAACGTTCCAACATCCGAATTATAGGGGTACCAGAAGGGGAAGAGGAAAAGCAACAGATTGAACACGTATTTGAACAAATAATAAAGGAGAATTTCCCCATTCTGGCAAAGGAAATAGACTTCCAGGAAGTCCACAAAGCTCAGAGAGTCCCAAAGAAGTTGGACCCAAGAAGAGACACACCAAGGCACATCATAATTACATTATCCAAGGTAAAAATGAAGGAGAGAATCCTAGAAGCAGCAAGAGATAAGGGGACAGTAACCTACAGAGGAGTTCCCATCAGACTGCCAGCTGATTTCTCAAAAGAGACCTTACAGGCAAGAAGGGGCTGGAAAGAACTATTCCAAGTCATGAAAGACAAGGACCTATATCTCAGATTACTCTATCCAGCAAAGCTTTCATTTAGAATGGAAGGGCAGATAAAGTGCTTCTCAGATAAGGTCAAGTTAAAGGAGTTCATCATCACCAAGCCCTTATTATATGAAATGTTAAAGGGACTTATCTAAGAAAAGAAGATAAAAAAAAACATGTATAGTTAAAGGACAGCAAACTCACAATTATTAACAACCACACCTAAAGCAAAACCAAAAGAAACTAAGCAAACAACTAGAACAGGAACAGAACCACAGAAATGGAGACCACATGGAGGGTTAGCAACAGGGGAGTGGGAGAAGGAGAGAGGGGGAAAAGGTACAGAGAATAAGTAGCATAGGTTGTAGGTTGAAAATAGATAGGGGGAGGGTAAGAATAGTATGGGAAATGTAGAAGCTAAAGAACTTATAAGTACGACACATGGACATGACCAAAGGGGGGGATGTGGGTGGGAGAGGGTGTACAGGGTGGAGGGGAGTGAAGGGGGAAATGGGACAACTGTAATAGCATAATCAATAAAATATATTAAAAAAAAGATACTGAAAGCAGTGTTTTTCAAAAAATTTATCATATCCCATTGGAGAAATAGCATTTATTTCATGACCCAGGCCATATGCATAGATATGTATTACTAAAACAGAAGTCAAACAGCCCATTTCTAACCAACATCTATTTTCATTATACCTCCTCCCTGTGGGTCTCAGACTACTCATACAATTGGCCACTTTTAGCTGCAATGTTCTATTTTTCTTAAGGAGCTCTGATGTTTTCTACTCTATTTTATTTGATTAAAAATTACAGATAGGACTAGATAAATTGGTTTTATAATTCAGTAATGGGACAAGAGTGAAATTTAAAAAAGAATATATAAGAGGTATAGCAGCAAACTGACTATTTATGATTCTTTTACAAAACACAAATGAGAAAAGCCCTGAAACATCCTGTTTAGAAAGACCAGAGCCTTGGCTGGGTGGCTCAGTTGGTTGGAGCACTGTCCGCACACCAAAAGGTTGCGGGTTCAATCCGTGGTCTGGGCACACTTTTAGGTTGCTGGTTCGATCTCCACTTGGGGCATGTATGGGAGGCAACAGATCAATGCTTTTGTCTCACATTGATGTTTCTCTCTCTCTCCCTTCCTTTCTCTCTAAAAAAAATCAATTGAAAAATAAAAAGACAGAAAGGAAAAAAGAAAGACCAGAAATATCCTCTTGGATCCCATATGAATAGGCAAAAGTCCAGTCCCCAAAATTCCAAGGAACCATCCCAAGAGCCCCAAAGCCTTAACTCCACAAAGATACCCCAGAGGAAGGCTATCCTCACCCACTGAGACCAGGTTCCTGAAGTTCTCTACCATCACATCTTGGTACAACTTCCTCTGAGCAGAGTCCAGCAGCCCCAGTTCCTCCTCTGTGAAGGCCACAGCCACATCCTTGAATGTCACTGCCTCCTACAACAAACACATAAAACCGCGATCTGACACCCAACATCCACTTGAAGAGGGGCAGCACTGAGGTAAGGGGGATGGGTGGGAAGTTGCTCTGACCCCTGAGCCGCTTGTAGATCTTCTAGCCCTTCTTCCATCCTGACAATGCCGTACACTGATTTTCCACAGCCTCGCCAAAAATGCTATGAAAAAAAGTTTTGTATGTATACTGGTGCTCTCACATTGAGCACTGTTATGCGTAAACTCCCTAAAATTCTAACTGCTGTATTCTGACCAAAGATGTTCTACATTTTAGTTAATCCTGCCAACTGCCCCAGAAAAATTTGCTGTTCTAGCCCCAACAGTGTTTCACAGCACATGCCTTCCCACTGAGCTGGGAATCAGGTTACATGTGGAACAAAATCAAAAGGGCCTGCTGGATCTCTTGAATAAAAAACTCTGTTTTCTCCTGTTTCTGCATTTCACTTGAGTGAAATATTCTGACTTGCTTTTCTGTATGAACTTGAGCAGGTTCCTTATTTTTCATAATCCATTTTCTTTACATTAAAGATCAAGATGAAACCAAAAACCTCTTCATAAAATTGTTCTGAAGTGTCAAAGCAGTACAAGGACTCTAGTGCCACTGGACTTTTTAAACTAAGGTCATGTATTACTTTAATTTAAAAAAATACACAAAAGAAAAAAAAATAAACCAGTAAATGAAATACATACAGGGTATGAGTCAGGCATGGGGGAGGGGGGAAGACGACAAAATCTAGCCCTTGTAATAAGAAAGCTTTTTCTTTTTTAAAAAAATATTTTTTAATTTATTGATTTAGAGAGAGAGCAACATTGATTTGCTGCTCTACTTATCTATGCATTCATTGCTTGGTTCTTGTATGTGCCCTGACCAGAGATCAAACCTGAAACCTTGGCATATGGGGACAATGCCCTAACTAACTGAGCTACCCAGCCAGGGCAGAAAACTTTTTTCAGTATTTTTTCTGTATGAAGCAGTACTTTGATCCTGATGCACTGTGCTGTATTTGAATATTGTACCAAAAAAGTCCAAGGTACCACCTATAAAATATACTTTCTCTGTTTTGAATACCTAATATGCTACGGACAAAAAAAAAGACATAGTTTTTAGAACTGATTGTTCTAGAAAAATGTTCAATGCTAGAAAAGTCTACTATAGTGTTCCCCAAATAGTAAAAATACTAAACTAATGTCTATGAATTAGAGAATAGTTTAAAAAATAGGTACATAAATTTGATGAGAATATGATATAACAAAAATGAATGTTATACAGCATTAAATGCAAAAACTAATTTAAAGTTGTATCTATGTTCTGAATACAAATATACAGTATGAATACATATGATAGAGAGATTACAGAAATAGAAGAACAGCTACTTTGTAAACAGGGAAGCAGTAAGGGAGATGTTTTCATTTCTATTAATTGTTCTCTTATTTGTGAAATAAAAAATGAAGAAATAAAACGCAAACTAAAGCTAAAAGCAATTAAACTTAGAAGGTACAACAAGCACCTGATACACTCAACAGCTCCTCCAATGCCCAGACATCCCTTGAAAGAGAAAAAGTTGTGTCTCCGAGTACTGAAATGGCATTTTTAAAAGTAAAAAAGGAAAGCTCTACTCACCTTGTACATGCTCATTCTTTCCTCTTCCTTCCAGGAAAACAGAGTGTACTAAGAGGACAGACTGGGAAAGGAGAAAGAAGTCAATGGAAACTGGTCAGTATGTCACTAACCCATGTGGCAACTTGTTGTGATTTTGCAAAGGTGCCCTTTCCTCCTGGGTGGCAGCAGCTGCATGCAGCTTCATGAACAGGACTTGGCATGGATGCCAGAAAATCCCCCTGCCACTTTCAGTAGCTCAGGGAACAACCTGCCCAACCTCACATAGTAGCCCAATCACCAGTGTGCCTATAGCTTCTTCAGCAGTAATTCTTATGCTGGACATTGTGCACATTGAGACAAAATCAGAGTAGGTGCTGGAGTTAATATACATGGGTTGAAATCCTGGCTAGGCTATTTACTAACAGTGTCATCTTGGAAAAATTATTAACATCTCTTTACCTTAATTCTATTATCTACAAGTGGGGGAAATAACTGTATTGACCTCATGGGATTGTTATAAGGTAGAAAGTTCTTAGAATTCTGTCAGGATGTCCTACTTCTCTGTAACCACAGTAAAGCAGATGATATTCTCTAGTTTGATGTTATCCTTATAAACATAATTTCTACCCATAGAATAATGTAAGAAACATGGCGTTCGGCAGTTGTTGCTTTAGAAACTCTTATAACTTCTGAAAAGTTTCTGTTTTCCTTTTTCCAATAACATGTTACCTCAACAATAATATTTAAATTGACAGACAACTTTATATAGGAGGTATAAAAATATATAAAGTTTCTTTTAAAGAAGGGCCCTTTCAATGAATATGCATGGAAGTAAAGAAAATTAAAATCCATGACTCTGTAACAATAAAAAAATAGTTGGATAGTCCACACCTAACTTAAATAAGAAATATATATATATTTATATTTATATAGTTATAAATATGATAATATATAAGAAGTAAACAGGTGAGAAGGGAAAGCTCTTAGAACTAATAAAGGTAGAAAGAAAGTTAGAAAATCATCTATGGGCGCTAAAATTGGTGAACGTTTTGGTGAGGAATAAGATACCTATAGTCCCAAAGTATTAGTTGCAAAAGGAAAACAGTAACCTGGCAGACACCTTAACCAAGAAAACTACGCTGAGACCACCAATTTTGATAGACCGACATTTCCTTTGTATGATGCACTGATGCCTCCCTGCTTCTGCAGCATTCCCACTGAGCCTGAGTCCAATCATTAACAAATACCAGACAAAGCACAAAAGAGGGGCCTTCTACAAACTAATTTACCAATACTGTTCAAATATCAAGAGCAAAAAAGAAAAAGCCTGAGGAGTCATTCCAGATAAAGGGGACTAATGTACGAAAAACTAAGTGCAGTGTATGCAACTGGACTGGCCCTTGAACTAGAAAAAAAAAATGTTCTCAACGACTCTATTGGGAAAACAAAAATTTAAATTGGGACTGTGAACTAGATAACAGTATGTTATCAATGTAAGTTATTCCATTTTGATCACTGTCTCTAGCTTGTTCTCAAATAGTTCCGAAAGGCAAAAATTATATGAGTATGATAAAGCTGTGAAAGAGAAAAGAAGAACAGTTCTGACAAGCTAAAGCCACAACAGCTAGAACTTGGTGTTTTCCTGTGATGAACAAAAGTCAGGCAGGACCACTCAGTGATTGTAGTGAACAAGAAAAAGACAAGACACTCCACAGCACAGAGACAAGGACATTCCACAGTGACAGAACAGCCAAAGGACTGCCCCTCCCAGCTAACATGAGTGAGTACTTTGTTAACAGTTGACAACTCCAGTCTCATTTTTTCTTCCATGGCCAAGTAGAAATTCTTTTTTGGAAAAATTTTATTTATTAATTATTTTTAGAGAGAGAGGAATGGAGGGAGAGAAACATTGATGTGAGAAACATGGATGGGTTGCTTCTTGTCCGTGCCCTGACCAGGAACAGAACTGCAACCTAGGCATGTACCCTGACTGGAATCAGAACCAGCGACATTTTGCTTTGCAGAATGATATCCAACCAACTGAGCCACACTGGTCAGGGTTAGGTAAAAATTCTTACAATATTCAGCCATGAAATTGCTTCTGCTTCTTAGCAGCATCTAATCCAGAACAAACCCTCACTGCCTAGAACTCTTCCCAATTCAGCTAACACAAGCCAAAACCCTATAAGCAGCCCCTCCTAACTGCCTCTTACCAATGGCTTCTGATTCTGCGTGGTGTGTGGGCTTCCTTGCTGCAGCAAGCTAAAACAAACTTAATTCTTGATGATTACAGGTATGTTCCTGACAGTATTTGACTGATGATCATCAACAGAGGAAACAGGCAAACCATAAACAATTGATGAATCTGGGTAAAGAATATATGAGAATTCCTTCTACTATCTTTGCAGTTTTTCTGTGAATACAAAGTTATATGAAAATAAAAAGGTATAGAAATTAGAAAACAGTCATAGTAATAGAAACAACAGTAGTTCTGATAATGGTGATGATGATGATGACTACAGCCAAAGTATCTAGTATTAACTATCAGAAAGTACTAGGTGATCTTCCTACCTCAGACAGAAGTCCTCTAGTTAAAATGATGGCAATGAATCCACTCTGCAAAGCCTGGGAGAAATGATATCTTCACAACCTCTAACTCTGTCCATTCTGTCTCTCTACTTCCCAGCTGCCTTCGGCTAATATCAGGATTTTGTAAGAAAACCTGACAGTTGACAATAAGTAATGGTGGTGGTGGAAAATCATCAGATTGAGTAGGGCTCTGGTGTACCCTACTCAGTTTTATCTGTGACAGCTGGCAGGGTCAGTTTTTTCGGGTTCTGTTTCCAGACAAGAACCTCTCCTGAATTCCTCAAATTTTCTTGGGCACAGAAATCACCTCAGGATCTTGCTGAAATGCAGATTCCTGGGTCTCATCTGAAGAAATTGTAAATTAAGAGATCTCAGGTAGGGTTCAAGGATGGGCATTTCTACTCAAGTGATGCCAGTGCAAATTGTGGTTTGTGGCCCACAATTTGAGAAGCACTGCAGTGAACCAGCAGTCCCAAAGGAAACCGCCTCCACTAACCAGAAATCTACACAATGAATAACCAGAGTTACTAAAACATTAACAATGGTTATCTTTACATCCTAAGGTTATGGGCAATTTAAATTTTTATTTATATATTTCTGTATTTTCTGAATTTTCCACAATGATTATGTTGCTTCTATAATAGAGGGTGGGGCAAAAGCAGGTTTACAGATGTAAGTACGAGACAGTTTATTCTTGTATTATTATTTATTAATTACTGTATAATTTTTCCATATGAACAACTGTAAACCTACTTTTGCCCAACCCTGTATAAACATTACTTGAAATAAAATAGTGAAACAGTTAAGAAAACTATTTTTAAAAACTCTTCTATTGAATAGCCTAAACCTTGTTCTCAAGGTTCCCACAATCAAGTCCCCACCCACTTTCCTGATAGGATTCTAGAGAATTCTCTATGCTCAAGGAGAATATACCAAAGACATTAAAGAACTCAGATAATGGACTCAGACTGCCTAAGTTCCAACCCCAGCTCTGCCTCCTACTAGCAGGGTGGCTGGGCCAACATGTCTCCTGCCTCTCAGTCTCATCTTTAACAGAGAAATTAGCAGCACCACTTTATAGATCCACTGTATGACAGAAAGGTGTTCATTTGTATAAAGCTTTAAGATGGAACTTAGCAACCAAGACTTGGTTATAATCACTGCCCGTGTCTGTCCAAGTGCACGCCCCACTCATTCTCCAATTTATGTGACTATTAGAAGAATCCAAAGCCTACTCACGTGTTGGGCTCTGTTGCCTCCTCCACCGTGCAGTGTTTTTTGAGAAGTCACGGCTGGGGAAGCCAAGGAAGCTGTGAAATACCAGGATTGTGTTTGCATCCCTGATAAATCGCATCCCCTGGTACCGCTAGAGGTAACACTCTCCTTTAAAAAAGGCCAAGAGTGCACAACAACCTAACTGAGAGAGGGACCCTTTTTGGAGAGTTATAGTGGTATTAATAACCCATGTGCCAGGCAGCTTTAATGAAACCTTTTATTTGTACTATTCTCAAAACATTCTGTTAGGAAGGAATTACTTTTATTTCCCTTTTACAGAACAGTAAGCGAAGGCACAGAGGAGTTAAGTAACTCACCCAGTGCGATACCGCATTAAGTGTTAAGTGGGGCAGCGCGACAGGGGTTGCAGAGCGCCCGGGAGTCCCTCAAACTCCCAAGCACTACAGAGCCCGCCCAATCCCGAGTGCGAGTCCCAAACGCAAGAAAAGCTCCGCCTGGGAAATGCAAATGACCACTTCAGTCTCAGACCTCCGTTTTTAGCAGCTCCTCCTCTTTCTCCCCAAACGAAGGACAGGTGGCTGTTGGCCCCAGGCGCATTCCCCGGAAGTTTGACTGTGTAGCGGACCTGAATATCCGCAATGTAGGAAAAGATGGATGCTACTGGTCCTGCTGGGGCGGAAGTGCCAGCGTCGAAAGCGAGCCCCCGACCTACATTTCCCAGGATTCCACAGCACCGCTCTCCCTGACTGGAAGTGCCAGCGCTTAAAGAAGCCTTTGGGCTTACACTTCCCAGAATTCCCCGCGGGGGGGCGGGTGGAGCCTTACTATAGGTGTAGTACGTCCGACTATATTGAGCCCTAGACTACACGTCCCAGAATGCTGAGCGGGAAAAAAATGACAACTGTACCGCCCTCTAGGACCACAGTTTGCGAGTGGAAAACGGTTAGAGAGACGTCCCCTGATGCGGAAATGCCGAACTACTCTGAGCGCCTGGTCTTCACTTCCCTGGGAAGGTCTTGCCATTCTAGTATGACGGAGTTAGAAGAGTGTAGGTTCTGGTCGTTGAGATTCTGAGTAGCACTTGCCACGGGTTCGAGGGACTAAGCAAGATAAACCATGCAAACCCCAAAGAGCTTCACCTTATGAATATGGGCAAAAGGGAACTGGGCATTCTTTGGCAGGGACTGAAATCAAACGTCGAGACGCCTCAATCCCTGAAATTTCACAAAGGTGGACGTGTTTTGTTAGAATACTAACGGCCCTTGCAGAAGCAAATGAAAAGCCTTTGTAGAGAAAACGTACCATCACCCTACATCTCAAATTATTTCTGTAATTACAAAATTTTTGATGTTAATATTTGACCAACTGAACTTTAAGAGCAAAAGCATTACCAGACATATGGAGGGGCACTTTATAATGACAAAAGTTTCGAGTTACCAGAATCTAACAACTTCAGTTATATTTTATACAGTGAAAATTAAAAGAACCACTGAGGAGAAAGATTCAGTGTGTGAAGGGGAACAAAGGGTTAAAACGAGCATTGTAGGTTGTAGCACACATGATACAACTATAGCATGACAGTTTCATCCATTATCTTAAGGTGTGGATCAGAACCAGTCAACCATGCAATGAATGAATGCGAGTCAGGCAATGCAATAGAAGTGATTCTATATGGGAAAGAGAGAAGACTCCAAAACTAGGACCCCCGAAGGGAGGAAAAGCGGTAAAGGCTCAGGGGCCCATCATTTCTATTTGTGAATAAGTTAAACTAGTATTTTAAAAATTCAGAGAGAAGCAGGTGTGATGCCATAAGGGGGAATCAATGTAATGCCATTGCTGGAAGGAACGAACCAAGGAATGGAGACACCTTCTAGAAGCTGGCAAAAGCAAAAAGTGAACTTTCCCCTAGAGTCAGGAACTTTCCCCTGGAGAAGGAAGGCAGCCCTGCTGACACCTTCATTGTAGCCAGAGAAGCAAACTGAGACTCAGAAGAATAAAATGCCCAAGGAGTCACCAAGAGGAAATGGCAAAGAGAAGTAGTCAAGTTGGAATGTCATGGAAGATAGATGGGACCATACTCCAGTATGAGCCTAGGAACTTGGGAAAATATGACCATATAACCCAGGTGAAAGAGAACAGTATTTCTTTTCATGCATGGAAATCAATTCACAGAAACAAAAAATAGGAGAAAGAACCCATTTGAGGGGGATAGAATGAGAGAAGATGTGAGTGTGCCCTCTACCTAATATCTAAACATTTGTAAAAAAAAAAAGAAGAAGAAGAAGAAGAAGAAAGGAACCTGTATATCATATTTCATAGGTAGCAACACTGAAATATGAAGGACAGGAAAACAGGTAAGAGGGATTTCTGGACTTATATCCTTTTTCTCTGTTATTTTGGATTTAATATCTATTGAAGTCTATTTGGCTTTGTTATACAGGGCAATAAAAACATAGAATCTTAACAAAATCACACAACATCTCAGGTGGTATGAGCATGTGTCTTGAAGTAAAAGGGATGGGGAACTGTATGCATGAAAACCTAATTGCTAAACCCCTGACTGCTCAGCTCTTCTTCACCTCGAGTATACACTTGAAGGAATGCCACTAGACCCCATCAGCTTTGGGATGGTGGAAGGGAGAAAGTGACATGGAACCATGCAAGAAAGAGGGTTTGGCACTTTAAAGAGAAACAGACTTACAAAGTGGGGTAGGGATGATAACCTGGTGTCTTTGCCTGTGGTGCTGGAGGGGATGAAGAGAAGCCATTTCATCATCACTTACTGCACAGGGGACAGAAAACAAAGCAGCTGTTGAGATGAGGCCTCTGAGCACCCAAGTAAGCAGAGGAGGACTTCTATAGTTGGGTTACTGGCAATTCAGGAATCCAGTTCATTTTATTTTTCATAGAGAGGGGAAGGAGAAAAAGAGAAAGAGAAACATCAAATCAACTGCCTCTCACATGTCCCCATCTGGGTGCCTGCCTCACAACCCAGGCATGTGCCCTGACAGGGAATCAAACCAGCAACCTCTAACTTCACAGGCTGGCATTCAATCTGCTGAGCTACACCAGCCAGGGTGGGGACAATTCATTTTAACTGCACATACTCCTTATTGGGTCAGTGTCCAGATGGTCATCAGAGTATAGACCACACATTTATAATCACCACTATCAATACTAGCCACCTCTGTCATTTTGGAAGGACACAAATGACAGCACAACTGACTAAAGTATTCAAAGAACCTATCAGTGACAGTCAAGTGCTTCCTGTTCTAGTCATGGGACAAGCAGGCCTCATCAAGGGAGCAAAGCTCCCTGATAGTGATCCTGCCTGTTTGTTTCCATTTCTCACAGCATCACAAACAATGTTCCCTAAGAAATAACCTCTCCAGAAGTATCTGGTGAATGAATGAATAAAAACCACCTGCCCGACACTTGCAGGGTCATGGGTAATATCTGTTCATACCAAAGGATGCCTAAGTTTACTTCATTATAGTGTTTCTCAACCTTGAAAAGATAATCCAGTACCCAACTTTCTCCCATGTATTATTGCAGGAAATCCAAACCAAGAGTAAATCCTCAACACACACACACACACACACACACACACACACACACACACACACACACACAGTGCCAGTAAACAAAAAACTTCTTCTTAATGATGGCATGGCACAGCCTTTGGCAACAGCCTGTAAGGGAGTGAATGGAGAGGCAGTGAGGAGCACAGGGAAAGCCTGCCTGGGCTCTCAAGTCAAGTATTCATGGGTCTAGGTTCTCACTCTGCCAAGGATGGCTGTGTGACCTTGCATGAGCTTCTTAACAACTCTTAGTCTTAGTTTCTTCATTTGTAAGGCAAAGCTATTATGACTAACTCTACAAGTTGTTAGAAGGATTAGGGACAATGGCAAGTACTGAGCACAGTGCTTTGCATGTGGGAGACATTGACAAGTGGCAACTATCATTTTTATTAATCTTTGCCTGAAGCAAAAGCTTACATGTAAAAAAAAATGAAACTCATAATTGGAACTGTAGATTTTAACTTATACATAAAGGAAAATGTTGGACTTCAAATGCATAAATGTTAAAATAGAAGGAAAGCTGAAAATTGATTCAGAAAATATTCATCTCAAGAAGTTGCCATATAACTGGCAAAACCAAAGTAGATAGAAGTTCATAGAACTCCATCTTCTGCACGCATATTTTAGCTATCTACTCTTCCCATTGCTTCTGCCAATAACAATGAAATAACACCATCACACATGTCTGCTTATAGACCTATGTGAGAATTTGGAATTCTTTGGAATATAGACCCAAGAATGAAATTATTTCATAGCATATGTGTATACATAAATTTAATATTAGTCTGATTGACCTTCAGAAAGGCTGCTGCAGTTGACATTACCAAGAGTTGTATATGAAGCCCTGGCTGGTGTGGCTCGGTGGATTGAATGCCAGGCTGCAAACCAAAGGGTTGCTGTTGGGGGGCTTTGCCCGCAGGGCACCCCTGGGCTGCCACAGATGAGAATAAGTCTACCAAGACATGATCTGCTTGGGTAGGAAGAGTGGCCGATCTCTCATAGGAGAAGGGCCAAGAGCCTTTTCCTCAATGGCTTTTATTGGGTTCATTTACACAGGAATTCAGGTAAAGCTCATTACTCTTTGCAGGGAAGTAAGGATCAAATAACAAGGAACTCTGAGGGCCTATTTTAAGTCAGGGTCAGATAGCTAAAGAGCTGTAAAAACTTTAAGGAAGAAACTTACTTCTTCCTCGGACCCTTATCATTCAATTGAGAGCATTCTAAACAAAGCAGGTTTCACAGGATTTTACATATTCTTTCTTAGGCTTGATTGCCTGGGGAACCCACCATTTCCAGCACAGGGCTGCACCACCCTCTGTCATTGTTTCAGGCTTAGGTGGAGTGAGGCAGCCAGGAGATTAGGAGATTCTCTTGCAGACAATGAGGACTCAGGCTGTGTCAAAGCCGAGGGGCGAGGGTCCATCACCCCCTTTTGCTGTAGCCCCCAAAGTCCTTCCTTGGGGGCCTCCCACATGATTGTGCCTGTCTTAGGTCGTGCCCCCCTTGGGGAATCTTACCTGTCATTGGCTAACCGGCCAAGTATTGGGGGCCAGTTATGGATGAAGTAAAAGGAACAGAAGTGGTGCTCCTGCCAGGGAGATAAGCTTGTCTCCTTGGTGGCTTATGGTCCAAAGTCATTCCCTCAGCTTTAGCCTTGGTGGGGGTTACAGCTTCTGATACCAGGCAGGGCGGTTCCCAGCAGGTCGTCAGTTCGATTCACAACCAGGGCACATGGCTGGGTTGCAGGCCAGGTCCATAGTAGGGGGTACACAAGAGGCAACCACAAATTAATGTTTCTCTCCCTTTCTCCCTTCCTTCCCTTCTCTCTAAAAATAAATAAAATCTTTTTTTAAAAGTTGTTTATGAGGTTTTTTTGTGTAACAACTTCCTCACCTCCATTTGGATGACCCAGTAGTATAGAAGTACTACTGTTTTTTAACTTGGGAGAACTTTGACTGATCTAATACAGCTACATTTTAACACAGGGGGTATCACATATCATTTCTCCATGTTCGAAAAGATTCACAGTTGCACAATGATCACCACTATCTAATCCTAGAACACTTTCATCTGCTCCAAGGAACCCTCCCACCCTACACATTAGCAGTCACTCCTCATTCCCAACTCTATCCCCCACCTCTAGTCTCTGGGAAGTACTGATTTACTTTTTCTCTCTACGGATTTGTCTATTCTGTACATTTCATATAAATGCAATCATCCCACACATTATCTCTTATGGTTGGCTTCTTTCACTTGGCATGTCTTCAGGGTTCATTCATGCTGTAGCATGAATCAGTACTCAATTTCTTCATATTGCTGAAAATATATTATAGGGGTATACTACATTGTTTATCATTCATCAGTTGATGAACATAGAATTGCTTCCACTTTTTACCTTTTGTGAATACTGTTCCTATGAACACTTTTGCACAAGCTTTTGTGTGGGTGTGTTTTCAGTTCTCTTGGGAGTATACTTAGCCATGTAAGCATTGTGACATAAGCCCAGTCTTTTTGGAATGTGGTTTTGGTGGTGTCGACCTCACTGAGATGTTCATGGACTTGTCTTAGCAGTCTCCATCCTGGAAATGGAAACTCTAAGACTAGGGCTCAAAACACATGAACAAGGAAAGTTATAGTGCACTTTGCAAGATAATGGGGTCATATTAGCAATGGGAGAGGGGTACTGCCCTTAGGTACAGGGAAGTGGGGCCCCTGCTTTGGGTACTGTGCCTCAATATCCCCACAATTTGTGGTTCCTTTCTCCAAGATTTTGAAATCTCCCTCTGATCCCTGTGATTGGTCTCCACTAGCAATGCTGTCCAGGTCAGCTGCCCCATCCCTGTTTATCTAGCATTTGTCTTTGACTTCTATCCAATGTGTGTGGTTGACCAAGTGCTCCAAGAAACTATAAGATGTCCATGTGGTTGTCCCAAAGACCTGTGGTCATTGGCCAGCGCCAGTTCCATAAAGGAAACCTGGTGAGTAGTTAGCTCAGATATATACTGTGGGATGAGGGCTGGCCAGGGCACCCCTAGCCAGAAGGAATGTGTATTGTTTTGGGAATGGATTGTAACTCCCTCCTTATGGGAATGATTTCTTACTCTGCGACTGCTTCTTGACCTTTTCCTTCTGCATATTCACACTGATGTAACGTAGCTCCAGGCCACACATAGGTTTGTGCAACTTGGACCCATGCTGCCTTTGTCTGGGACCCCTTATAATGGGCCTTAGACTGGAGGAGGTGGGGTCTCTATCACATCAATCTGCCACCATCAGTACTCTCATGGAATATGAATAGTAAATGGCATGTTCACACCAGCTAGTCTGATGGGTGTTTTTTTTGGTGTGTGGGGGGGAATATCATGAACATTTAGGCAGCTCCCCAGTTTGGGACTCCTGTGCTACATATAGGCAGGCAGATGTCATAAGGAGCTGGCTCATGCAATTCTGAAGGCTAAGAAGTTCCATGATCTTTGCACACTGAAGACCCAGAATAGCTGTTAGTTATTTAGACCAAGTCCCAATGCCTGAGAACCAGGAGAGCCAAGAAATGAAAAGGGACAAATTCTCCTATCTCTTCAATGCAGTGAGCAGATAATGTTTTTTTATTGGGTTTACCCTTGAACCTTGTATGGTTTTGCAAACCAACATCACCCTAATAAATTGAATAAAAGGAATTCTTTCCCTTTTTTTGTTCGACTCAAGTCCTCAACAGATTGGTTCATGCTCACCCACACTGGGTTAGGTAATCTACTGAGTTAGCTGAATCAAATGCTATTCTTATTCAGAAACACTCTCACATATACATGCATGTGCAAATACACACATACAAAAATTTTTGATTATGCTATGAAGGTGAGCATCTATGATTTCTCAAAGCCCATATTATGCATTTATCCTGTCCTTACAGATTATCTGTCATAATTTAAATGGCCTCAGATTAATATAGGAATATATCAAAATTCAAGCTCCTATAGATGCATGCTTATTTCCACTTTAAATAGTTCAATGACATCATTGATGTGTTGCTCATCTTCTTGGCATTTTCATCTTATAATCAGAACTTCCATCATAGGACTTCCAGATTAAAGAGATGTACAACCTATATTCTGATATATATTCCTTTCCCAAAACCATGTTTTACTGCTACCATTAGGGAAGAGCATATACATGTCAGTCTTGTCTCAATATTTACATGTAATTTAATTATAAATTCCTACTAGTTTTTTTGGTATTTGTATCATGGGTGTGAGGGGAGAAGATAGCATAGACCCTACCTCAGAAGTTTTGATAAAAGAAATGCTACAGTAAATAGAAGACAAACATTTCAAAGTCAGGATGGAAATGCACAGAATTAGAAATCAACAATAAATTCAAGGTTAAGAAAACTGACATTGGTGATACTTTCAAAGTGTTAAGAGCAAACCCATCTTAACATTGATAGATAAAAATCAATGTTGTAACATGCTTTTTAACTTCTTGTAAAGTTAAAAAACTTTTTCAGTTTGTACTGTCAGAGAAACCAAAGATACTCAAATTACACTGTACACAATCCTTGGAAAACTAGACAGGGCCCCAAATAATCACTCAACTTGAGAACAGACGCTGTGGGGAAGAGGGAAGTCAGTTGCAATAGTGGAGTACCATATTAATATTGTGGATGTGAATACTGAGTGGCTTTCTGTATTTTGACAAATGTTCATTTCCCTGAATTTTATTTGGCAGGTCTCTTCCTCTAAATATTTCATATATTGTGTGTTTTCTCTTTTTGGCTTATTTAACATGTAAGTACTGAGTACATCTAGAAGAGTCAGTGCAGACTTGGCAGCCAAGTCCCTGCCCTCATGGAGCTTATATTCTAGTTGGCAGCAATTCTGGCATGGCCATCACTGTACTTTTGTTAAATGCCAGACTGAGCTCTTTTCCTTTCTAAGTACCGTCTCCTAAGTGACAGATAATAAATGTCAGAGTTCTGAATGAAGCACTTACTGTACCATGTACAAGGATTTTCCACTGCATGGCCTGCTGAAAACTTAGATGTGTTCCACTTTGGGTTACTAAAACAAATATTTTTTTTCCTCCTATAAAACTTAATAATAATTCAGATTGTACATAAGTTTTTAAAAAGAGATCATTTTGTACAATTTCTTTCCTCTGACAATTCTCTGATGGTCTTAGCACTCTCTCCATCTTTGTAAAATGTATCACCAGCATGGACTCTACAATGACTTACAAGATTTGATCTCCAACTGAAGCTTTTACCACATATCTCACATTTGTAAGGTTTCTCCCCAGTGTGAACCCGCCCATGATACTGAAGTTGTGAAGAGCGACTGAAGACTTTACCACATGCATCACATTTGTATGGCTTCTCTCCAGTGTGGACACTCTGATGAAGTTGAAGACTCGAGGCCTGACTGAAGTGCTTACCACACTCCCCACACTTATATGGCTTCTCTCCTGTGTGGACCCTCTGATGCATGTCAAGATTCAAGCTCCACTTGAAGGCCTTCCCACACTCCTCACATTTGTATGGCTTCTCCCCAGTGTGAACTTTTTGATGGGCTTGAAGGTGTGAACTCCGACCAAAGCTCTTCCCACACTTGTCACATTTGAATGGCTTTTCTCCACTGTGGACTCTCTGATGGGCAAGAAGATGTGAGGCCTGACTGAAGACCTTCCCACATTCCTCACAATTATATGGTTTCTCTCCTGTGTGGATTCTACAATGAATTTTAAGGTCTGCTCTACGACTGAACCCCTTCCCACACTCTTCACATTTGTATGGTTTCTCCCCAGTGTGGATCAGCTGATGAATCTGCAGTCGTGAACTCTGATTGAAGCCCTGTCCGCACTCTTCACACTTGTATGGTTTCTCCACACAGTGGGCCTTCTGATGGATTTTAAGGTATGAACTTTGACGGAAGCCTTTCCCACATACCTCACACTTATAGGGTTTTTCTCCTGTGTGGATCACCAGATGAACTCGATAATGGATTTTCATCCTGAAGCTCTTCCCACACTCCTCACATTTGTATGGTTTTGCTCCTGTGTGAACTCCCTGATGTGCTTGAAAACTTGAACTGTAAATGAAGCCCTTACCACACTCTTTACACACATATGGTTTCTCTCCAGTGTGGATCCTCCGATGGGCCTGAAATTGTGAAGGCTGAATGAAGCATTTACCGCATTCTTCACATTTATATGGTTTCTCTCCTGTGTGGACCCTCTGATGGATATGAAGATTTGAACTACAAGTGAAACACTTCCCACAGCCCTCACATTTGTATGGTTTCTCTCCTGTGTGGACCATACAGTGGCTATTAAGTGCTGATCTACGACGGAAGTTCTTCCCACATATATCACACTTGAATGGTTTCTCCCCAGTGTGGATTCTCTGGTGTTCCTGAAGATGTGAAGCATGAATGAAGGCCCTTCCACATTTGTCACAATTATAAGGCTTCTCTCCAGAGTGTAATTTATAATGAACAGTAAGTGTTGCTCTACGACTGAAGCCTTTCCCACACTGCTCACATCTGAATGGTTTCTCTACAGTGTGGACTTTCAGATGAGTTTGCAGATGCGAACTCTGACTAAATTCCTTACCACACTTATCACACTTATAGCGTTTCTCTCCCAGGTGAACTCTCTGATGAATACGGAGTGCTGAGCTATAACAGAAGCTTTTTCCACATTCACCACATGTATGAGACTTCTCTTCTGAGTGTATTTGTTGATGAAGATCAAAGTTGGAGACATCACTGAAATATTTTTTACATTCATCACACTGGTAAGGTTTCTGGCCTGTGTGATTTATAGACGGTCCTGCCCCAACCTGGCTGGTTGGATCACTTTGTTTGGAGAACTGAGAACTCTTTATCATGGAGTCTTGATGGCTGGTTAAGTCACTGGAAATCTGTTGCCAGATATGCCAGCAGGAAAGCTCTTCATGTGGTTCTGCTTCTGGAACAGTCTCTATTTCACCTTGGATTTTTCCCCCTGTAAAAACAGAGAATGCAGAGAAATGAACAACTGAAGGTTTTGTTCAGTATTTTCACAACTTCACATTGAAGACAGAATCTGAGATTTAAATGAATCCAGGAAATATTCAGTGTGTCTTTTCCATTGGATATCATGTTCTCTGGTTTGCATGTCCTCGGAAATCAAGAGGTGGACCAGTTGGCTCCTATCCACTGAGCATAATGAAACCCATTAATACACATCAAGTCTCCTATGTGAGGTGCAAGGTAGTTGTCAAAGACTTAATTTTAAAAGTTGACAATAGGATTCAGAATGTTAACCTATGGCCATTTCTACTGAGTATCAAGTTAGTGTAGAATCTTGAATAGTAAATTATGCAGTTAATAAATTATAGATAGAAAAGTTACATAGATAATAAAACAGGAATCTACTAAAACTTTAAGGAAAAGCAATAACAATCAAACACTTCAGTTTTAGGTTCATGTAATATAATCTAATATCCAATAACTTGAAGTATTTATATTTACATATTCAAAGTATTCTGGAAATTCTGTACAACACATACATCTCATCTCTTTTTTTCAGGTTGATAGACATTAAATGAGTTGGCAACTCATAAAATTGTGATCATTTCCAATAACTTCAGTTTAGAAATGTGTTTTCTAAAAGATTTACCCTTGTTGGTATCCCAAAGTTTCTACATTTATACAAAGTTATAGGAACATCTGGAGAATACTTTTTCAATGAACTTTTCTATTAGTTTAGAAAGTACTTCTCTTGCCCTGACTGGTGAGGCTCAGTGGGTTGGGCCTCCCACAAACCTAAAGTTCACTGGTTCAGTTCCCAGTCAGGGCACATGCCTGGGTTGTGAGCCAGGTCCTCTGTTGGGGGTATGCAAGAGGCAACCAACAGATGTTTCTCTCACACATCGATGTTTCTCTCCCTCTCTTTCTCCTTCCCTTCCTCTCTCTGTAAAAATAAATACAATCTTTTTAATAAAAAAATAAAAATAAAAAGTACTTCTCTTAAAAGTCAACAATAAGACCTGACTGGTGTGGCTCAGTGGGTTAGGTGTCATCCTGCAAACTGAAAGCTTGCCAGTTTGATTTCTGGTCCCTGCACATGTCTCTGTTGCAGGCCAGGTCCCCAGTTGGGGGCATGCAGGAGAGACAACTGATGCATGTTTCTCTAGCACATCAGTGTTTCTCTCCCTCTCTCTCTCCCTTCCTTTCCTTTCTCTGACAGTAAATAAAATATTTTTTTAATATGAATTTTTTATTTAAATTATTTTATAAGTAAAATCTTTTTAAAAAAGTCAACAGTAAGAGAACAAAGAACACTATTACAAGTGGACCAAAGACTTCAACATACACTTCACCTAAGAAGATATACAGATGATAAACATAAAAAAGATGCTCCCCATCTTACATCATCAGGGAAATATAAATTCAAATAATGAGATACCACCAGACACCTATTAGAATGGCTAAAATCGAGTACACTGACAATATCAAGTGGTTTGATGAGGATGTGAAGCGGCAGGCACTCTTATTTGCTGCTGATGGGAGTGCAAAATGTTACAATCACTTTGGAAGACAGTTTGGTAGTTTCTTACAAAACTAAACATACTTTTACCATACCATCCAGCATTGCACTCCTTGGTATTTAACGAAAGAAGCTGAAAACCTAAGTCTACACAAAAACTTGTACAGGGATGTTTACAGCAGCTTTATTCAATAACAACAAAACTTGTAAGCAATCAAGATGTTCTTCAGTAGGTGAATAGATAAACTGTGGTATATGCACACTATGGAATATTATTCAGTGCTGAAAAGAAATAATCTATCAAACCATGGAGATATGGATGAAAGGTAAAAGCATATTACTAAATGAAAGAAGCTAATATAAGGATTACTTATTGTATGATTCCAACTATAAGACATTCTAGAAAAGGCAAAACTATGGAGATAATAAAAATTTCAGTGGTTGATAGGGGTTATGGGGAGGGAGGGAGGAACAAGTGGAGCACAGAAGATTTTTAGGGCAGTGAAAATACCCTGTGTGATACTATAATAGCAGCTATGTGTCATTATACATTTGTCCAAATCCACAGAAGGTATAACACCAAGAGTGAGCCCTATTGTAAAATACAGACTCTGGGTGATAATGATGTGCCAATGTATTTAGATTCATCAATTGTATTTTGTGGGGGATGTTAATAATTTAAGAGTCTGTGGGCGCCCTGGCTGGCATGGCTCAGTGGATTGAGTGCTGGCCTGCGAACTGAAGGGTCACCGGTTGGAATCCCAGTCAGGGCACATGCCTGGGTTGCGGGCCAGGTCCCCAGTAGGGGGTGCAAGAGGCAACCACACATTGATGTTTCTTTCCCTCTTTTTCTCCTTTCCTTCTCCTCTCTTATTAATAAATAAATAAAATCTTAAAATAAAGAGTCTGTATGTATGTGGGCAGGGGGTATGTAAGGTATTTTGTACCTTCTTCTCAGTATGGCTGTGAACATAAAACTGTTCTAAAAAATAAAGAGTCTTCTTTTTTAAAGTACTTCTGAAAATATTTCATAAAGGAGAAATTCACTCTCCTCCCTGTAGAAATAGCTAAGTAAAAGCATCCTGTTTTGCCCTGGCCAATGTGGCTCAGTTGGTTGTAGCATTGTCTCAAAAACCAAAAGGTCACAGGTTTGATTCCCAGTTTGGGCACATCCACGTAGGGGATTTAGTCCAGTCCATGTGCATGTGAGAAGCAACCAATCAATGTTTCTCTCTCTTATCAATGTTTTCTCTCCCTCTCTCTCTCCTTCCCTTCTCCTCTCTGTAAGGTCAGTGGGCAAGTCCTCAGGTGAGGATAAAAATAAAAAACATCCACACTATATAACTATGTCTTGGGTCATTTTATGGGAAACTTACTTTAATCTCAAGGTGTCTGGGATGGTTATAATGATTTGCAGACTTGGGAGTAAATATCTAATCACATATTGACTAAAACAATGTAAAGCAGACAGTGAAACGTTAGCTCCTACTGGCAAGTTTCATTCCTGAGGACAAAAGGGAAATAAAGTTGAACAGATAACATGTTGTTCTGAAATATGACAGTAATTCAGATCTCTAGAAAACAGAGTGGAAAAATGGAAGGTAATCTTTTGCAATGGAGATAGAACCTGGGAGAAGGAAAAGATGAGGCCACTGTATAAACTCAGAAAGCCAACTGTTGGACGAGTGTTGGTTCCAGCCAGGACCTCTTCCCAGGGAGACACACGAATGGCTCCTCGTGTCTTTTAGGTCTCTAGTCAATGTCAGCTCACCCACACAGCCACTTTACCACCCAGTGTAAGATAATAAATCTTGTCCTCACTCAGTTCTGGCAACATTCATGCTCTTTGTTGATGTTCTACACAGCACTTTTTACCATTAGACACCCGAAGTCAACTGTTGTTTAATGATGTCTTTCCCCTACAACACAGCATCAAAGAGGGATGGATTTACATCTTGCACACCAAACACATCCCACCTACCTGGTGTACAACCACTGCTCAGAACTGTGCCTGGAACATGATGAGCATGCAGCAAATGTACGTTGAATGAATAAATGAGTCCCACCAAGAAAGTTTTACTTTTGGTCAGACCAAAAGACACAGGGGTACATACACCAAGCATGATATTAAAGAGAAAATTAAAGGTGGCAAAATTCCTTGGAGTGAAAATAAAGCAAGAGGCCCTATCACTGGTTTCTTCTGAAGCTTTTGGACTATTTCCTTGAAAGCAGAGTTTGAAAAAACTTTGGCTGTAGATTAAAAAAAGCCTATTACAGCAGTTTTTCAAATTGAAAACCCCATCTCTTTAGTGAGCTGTGAAATAAATTTAAAAGCTTGAGATAGGAATTCAGAACAAACAACCAGGATAGAAAGTGTCAGAGAATCATCACCAACAGGAGAGGGATTACTATATGAAATGCCTATGAAAGTCATACATGTAATTCTAAAACACGTGAAACATTGGTTTTGGTTACAATGAAAGATGTGTCGCTTACTATGGCTTATAGAAAAAAAAACCCCTGAAAACTTTGGTTCTAGAAGTTACCAAGGCCTTAATTAAAGAAATTATTCAAGTGGAAAGACAAGTTCCAAGAGTGGAAGCTTGGAAAAATATTACGTGGTGAGTATGTACTTCTTGGTAAATAACATAATTTATGGTTATATTTAACAAACTGACCCTTAAAAATACCTGTGTGAGGGGGACAGGGAGGCTCTCTGAGGATGTGAAAATTTTAAGCAGCAATTTTCCTGATTCTTCCCAGGTTACAATATTCACTAGTTGAAAAACACCAAGTCTTTATAACAATTAAGAGAAAATTATATGAAATCTATATTTTTTAACATTTGTTAAACAGCTAAATTTGTAGAAAACAAAGGCACAATAGATTTTTGAACCAGATTTATATACAACATTGAGGTGTGTTCCATGTCACTCTCATCTTCAATCTTCCCCCGCAGGGACATGAAGGGAAACCTGGGGACAGTGACATGGACGTGCGCTTTGAAAGATGTGAATGGGCTGCAGATGGCAGATCTTCCAGGGAAATGCAGCTCGCAGCCTGGTTACTGTCTGACAGTGCAGGAAATACACTTTTTTCCTTGTGTGGGGCAGCTATCTGAGAATCAGCGTTCAGAATCCTCATTCCAAAACCATTCTTCCCAGAAATGAGTATACTCACCTAAGGAAGGCTCCAGGAGAGCCACAGGGAAAGTGTGTCAGACAGTGTGGCCACAACCATGACACTTACAAGTTTTCCTGGAATGTGAGTCAAGTGCACACACACAAACACATGTTCATGTCAGGGGCACTCAAGAGAGTTAAATGAAATATAAAGTAACCAGGCAGGCATTCATAAAAACACAACAAATGTTCTGACACACCCTCCGTCTACTCTGGCTTGCCCATGATCTATAGCTACCTCCTACAGTGACTACGGAGACACTGAGGGCCCCAACCTCTGAACACACTGGCTAAGCCAACAAACATTCACAGACACTTGTCCCAAAGCAGGCTACTTTAGGCACAGAGGATACAGCAATAAACAAAACAGATAAAAATTCCTCACTGAGGGGCATTACACTCCTGTGCAGAGAGAGAGGTAACATGCAGGTAAACAAAAACATATGAGCCCCAATAAAATGCAGAACAAGGAGGGCAGAGAAGGGATGTATTTGCCACAGGGTGGGCAGAGAAGCCCTTCCTCATGAAATTCAAACTGAGCAGAGACCTGAGTGAAGTAAGGAGGGAACAGGAAGGTTGTAGGTGAAAGAGAATGGCACAGAGAAAGCACGCAGGGCCCTGAGGCAGAAGCACCTGTAGTCGGCAGAATGAGTGTTCCCCAAAGCATCTGCATCCTAATTTTTGGAGCCTAGAATGTTAGGTTACATGGCAAGGGGTAATTAAGGCTCATAAGCAGCTGACCTTAAAATTGAAGACAGTCCTCTACTGTTCAGATGGGCACAACACAGTTGAAAGGGTCCTTCCAAGTAGAAGAGGAAATGTGACCACAGCAGGACAGGCAGAGAGGAGCGCTGTTGCTGGCTGAGAAGATGGAGAAAGGGGGGGCACAGCTAAGAAAGGTGGGGGATCTGTAGAAGCCTGAATGGCAAAGGCAGACTGTTCTCAGGAGACTCCATAAAGAAGTATAACTGTGCTGACGCCCAGATGTACACCCGGAAGAACAATATCACACTTCTGGACTAAGGAACTGTGAGATAACTGACATGGGCTGTTTTAGGCCATGATGTTTGTGGGAATCTGTCATGGCAGCAATAGGCAATAGTGTTGCCGGCAGATCTGAGAATCAGCAGAAAGGACAATATGGGTGGAAGAGAGAGCACAAGGTAGAGTATGCAGAGCAGGACACAGAGGGTTCCAGAAGCCACTTAGAAAGGTTTTAAGAAAAATGAGAAGTGCCCTGGCTAGCGTAGCTCAGTGGATTGAGCTCGGGCTGCGAACCAAAGTGTCGCAGGTTCGATTCCCAGCCAGGGCATATGCCTGGGTTGCAGGCCACGGCCCCCAACAACCGCACATTGATCTCTCTCTCTCTATCTCTCTGTTTCTCTCTTTCTCCCTCCCTTCCCTCTCTAAAAATAAATAAATAAATAAATAAAGCAATAAATCTTAAAAAAAAATGAGAAGCCAGAAAGGATGTTGAGTAAAGGAACAGCTCTTTGGCTTTGTCTCCTACGGCTCAGAGACCATCAGAGGGAGGGTGGGAGCAGCATGACCAGCACAAGGGTGGTTGAAATAATTCAAGAAAGAGGTTTGGCAATTTGGGCCAGATGAGAGCCAAAGAGGTGGAGAAGAAGTAAAACACACAGGAGAACATCTCCGAGGACTTCTGTCTGCTTGGTGCTTACCTGATTCCCCTTCTCTTTGGGTTGCGGTCATCATCCAAACCCTTTTTTCTTTTTCCAAGTGGACTATGTCATGTTTGAAGGAGTGACATCCTGGGAACATGACAAGTTCCCATATTTAAAATGAATATACTAGAGGTATCTAGTGGAAATTTACTGGAAATTTAGATTTCTATTGCATACTGATCAATTAGTCAAAATGAGTAAAAGCATGACCTATCTGAAGAAATACCAATATCTCAAGTCCTAGAGAGATATGCATAAAATGTATTTACTACAAAATCTGATTTCTAACCAATGTCTATTTTCATTAAGCTCCTCCCACTGGCTCTTACATCACTCATATAATTAGCCAGTGGCTTTACTGTAATGTATCCTGTTTTTCCTAACAAATTGATGTTTCTCCCTTATTTTATTGCATTAAAAAGTGCTGGTACAAAATTCAGGTCCATGAATGCAAGTGATCATTTTAAGACTCACAAAGCCTTGAACACCTGAGGACATAAGCCACTCCTGGGGGTTGACATTCAGTTAGAGAGGGCCCCTGTCCTCACCCACTGAGACCAGGTTCTGGAAGTTCTCCAGCATCACATCTCGGTACAGCTTCCTCTGTATGGAGTCCAGCAGCCCCAGCTCCTCCTCAGTGAAGACCACAGCTACGTCCTTGAATGTCAATTCCTCCTACAACATCAAACACAGGCAACCTCAATCTTATAATCAATGGCCACATGAAAAGGGACAGTACCGAGAAGGTAGGGCACTTGAGTGGGAAATGGTTTCAGATTTTGAGAGACTTAAGTTGATGTGCAGGTCTCCCATCCCCACTACTCTTTCAATGCCACACACTGACTCCTCAGGCTCAGCAGAGGTGCGGCAGTGACAATAGTCCTCATATTTTTACTTTGTGCCCTCATTGATTCTACTTACAAGCAAACTCCAAGAACCCTAAATATGCATACTGGGCTACATGTGATTTACTTTTCTTTCTTTTTAAAAATGATTTTATTAAATTTTTTAGGGGAAGAGAGGGAGAGAGGAAGAGAAACATCAATGTGTGGTTGCCTCCTGAGGCCCTACTGGGGACTTGGCCTGCAACCCAGGCATGTGCCCTGACTGGGAATTAAACCAGTGACCCTTTGGTTCACAGGTGGGTACTCAACCCACTGAGCCACACCAGCCAGGGCTACTTTTCAATCAATATTGCCAGTGGCCCCCAGAAGCATTTAGTAATTTAGTCCAAACATATTTGGTAGCACCTGCCTTCCTTCTCATTCACAAGTGGATCCTAGACGCTGTCACTTTTCATATGTGGCTGTCCCCTGAAACTTCAAGGCACACACTACATCTCTTGATTGCAGCATTCGGTGTCATGTCTGAAGCCAACACGCCTCAGTATGCATCCCAAAAGTCCATCCTTCATAAGCTGTATGACCTTGAACAAACTTGCCTATGTGCCTGAGTTGCCTCTCTGTATAATGGTCCTTACCATGACTGAGCTCTTTCAAACATTAAACAAGGGAATATCTACAGCATTTGGGACAGTGTGACAGACTAAGTGCCTAATAAACATTTGCCATTATTCTTATTTCTTATCATTATCAAATGTATTTTATCTCATTTCATGGCTGCATATTATTCCAAGGAACTGAAGACCTAGAATTACCTGTTCTAAATATTTAATTTTATATAGTTTTCTCATTAAAACCTATCCTGCAAATCTATATTTTATGTAGATTTTACTTTCCTATTTAAGTAATTGCAAATGAAAATTAAAATATCAAAAATCAGCATGTTTAAAATTATGATCATATAATGACAGATTTTTTCCCCCAATTTTCCCCCCATTTCCTGAATCTTTCAAGAGAACACGAGCACCCTGATTCTCTATACAATGGCCAAGTGCAGGTTATAAAATTTCCCTTGACTTTAATTATCCAATTTGGGAGAACAATTTGTTTTTGTATTTGCACTTATTTGATTATAAATGAATAACTTCACCTTTTCAAATGTTTATTAATCATCTCTGTTTCTCCTCTTGAATAGATCTATTCATGCCCTTTGTTCATATTCTATTGGATTTTTTCATTAACTCTATGTATAAGATTCCTATTATGAAACAAACAAAAAAACCCCAAAGAATCCTATTATGAATTTTGGCATTCATGTAGTAAATATTTTTTGGCATTTCCGGGGTAAATATTTTTGCCCCAGGTTATTTTTTCTGGTAATTTTACTTTTCTATTATACACTGTAGCAGGGGTGTCCAACCTATGGCCCACAGGCCACACATGGCCCAGGATGGCTGTGAATGGGGCCCAACACAGAACTGTAAATTTACTTAAAACCTTTTTTTTTGCTTTTCAGTTTTCGTTAGTGTTTATGTATTTAAGGTGTGGCCCAAGGCAACTCTTCTTCTTCCAGTGTGGCCCACAGATGCCATAAGGTTGGACACTAGTGGAAGGTGTCTTTTACCACAGATGAATTTAGAGATTTTAAAACAAGATGATTTTCTTTATTTCTAGAGAGAAGGGAAGGGAGGAATAGAAACATCAATGTATGGTTGCTTCTCACGAGCCCCAAACTGGGGACCCGGGCCACAACCCAAGCATGTGCCCTGACTGGGAATGGAACCAGCACAGATCAGCCCTCAATCCACTGAGCCACATCAATCAGGGCTAGAGATTTTTATACAACTATGCTAACGACAGTCTTTGTGTGTTGGGAGTGCTGAGCATCTCTGTGGACCTGAGGAGGAGCCACGACAGAGACAGAAGAGATGCACCCTGAGAAAGGATGGAGAACGGGTTGGGGAACAGCAGTGCCACCTGTGGAAACTGTCACTCAGAAGGGCTATCCAGGGCACAGATCCTGAAAGGAACTCTTCTTGTCTTTCTTCTTGTCAATCTCTTTCACTTGAGTAGAATGCCTACCACTCCTGACCCTTGGTTTCTTGTGGGAACCTGAGCAGGTTTTCATATTTCATGTGTTTAAGTTGAAGATGAAACCCAAATATCCTCATTCAGCAGCTCTGAGCAGTGAATGCAGTCACAGAATGCCCTTTACTGACAAATCTAGTATCTCTGGACATTTTAAACTAAGGTTCAAACTAAAGTTATGCTAGTCAAACCAATTACTACACAAGAGAAAAAAAAACACGACTAAATAAAAAACACAGAAGGCCTGACTCAGGCATGGGGAAGGTGAACTCTAGCCCAATCTGTGTGAAAATCTCCAATGATATTTGTGTGAAGCAGCAGTGACAGTCTGCAGTGCCATGCTGATATCTGGATATTCTACCTAGAAAACAGCCACCTTGACACATATCAAATGTAATACAATAAAAAAAATTGTCAGATTGATTTCAGAATTGATTTTGGAGGAAATGATTTTATGTAACACGGCTGTCACTGCAGTGTTGCTTAAAACAATTCCACACAGAGATGTGAAGTACCACACAGGAAATATACTCAATAATATTGTAACAACTATGTATGGTGTCAGGTGGGTGCTAGACTAAAAGAGGGGATCACTTCGTGAGTTAAGTTATATGTCCAACCACCTGAAACGAATAGGATGTTGAAGGTCAACTGTGATAGAAAAATAAAAATAGCCCTAGCTGGCATAGCTCAGTGGATTGAGTGCGGGCTGCAAACCAATGCATCACAGGTTCGATTCCCAGTCAGGGCACATGCCTGGGTGGTGGGCCACATCCCCAGTGGGGGCCACGTGAGAGGCAACCACACATTGATGTTTCTCTCGCTCTCTTTCTCCCCCGCTTCCCCTCTCTAAAAATAAATAAATACTATCTTAAAGAAAAATAAAAATAAATTTAAAAAACGGTAAAATTCCCAAACCATCTAAATGTCTGAGTGACAAGTAGTTAAAAATTAAAAGGTACATCAATTCAATAGAAATGTGATATAACCCTAAAAAATAAAAATTACATATGATCAGAGGAGAAAAGTTACAATTTAAAATTAAATATAACATGAATATAAATGCAGCTATGACTGAATATGAGATAAAGAGTATTAGAAAAAAAAAACTGGCTGGTGTGGCTCAGTGGATTGAGCACCAGCCTGCAGACCAAAAGGTTGCCAGTTCAACTCCTAGTCAGGGTGCATGCCTGCGTTGCAGGCTAAGTCCCCAGTTGCAGGAATGCAAGAGGCAACCAATCAATGTTTCTCTTGCACAGATGTTTTTCTCTTTCTCCCTCCTTTTCCCTCTCTCTAAAAATAAGTAAATAAAAAATTTTAACCCTGGCTGGCGTAGCTCAGTGGATTGAGCTCAGGCTGCGAACTAAAGTGTCGCACGTTTGATTCCCAGTCAGGGTACATGCCTGGGTTGCAGGCTATGACCCCCAGCAACTGCACATTGATGTTTCTCTCTCTCTTTCTCCCTCCCTTCCCTCTCTAAAAATAAATAAATAAAATCTTTTAAAAAAAACACCTTTATTTAAAAAAATTGTTTTTAAATATTAGAAAAGCCCTGGCTGGTATGGCTCAGTGGATTGAATGTTGGCCTGCAAACCCAAAGGTTGCTGGTTCGATTACCAGTCAGGGTACATGCCTGGTAGCCAATCAATGTTTCTCTCCTTCTCTTTCTCCCTCCCTTCCCCTCTGTCTAAAAATAAATAAATAAAATCTAAAAAATGAATAAAATCTTTTTAAGAATTAAAAAAAGTAAAAACAGCAAATTTGTCAGCAGGGAAACAGTAAAGTGGGAGAACTGTTCATTTCTAGTAACTTTTCTGCCCCATAAAATAAATAATAAGCCCTGGCTGGCATAGCTCAGTGTATTGAGTGCAGGATGCAAACCAAAGCATTGCAGGTTTGATTCCCAGTCAGGGCACATGCCTGGTAGCCAATCGATGTTTGTCTCTCTCTCTCTTTCTCCCTCCCTTCCCTCTCTAAGAATAAATGAATAAAATCTTTAATAAATAAAACAAAAACTAAAAACAAATGCAAAGTAAACTGAAAACCCTGGAGCCAACCAGGTCATCTAATACTCATTGTTTAAGTATTGAGTTGCCCCAAGAAAAACATGTGACAATTTGGTAATGAGGTAAAACTTTATTTGATTTTATTTGATCTTTTAAAGATTTTTAAAAATTTATTTTTAGAGAGAAGGGAAGGAAAGAAGAAAGAGAGGGAGAGAAACATCAATGTGTGGTTGCCTCTCATGCATCCCCTACTGGGAGCATGACCTGCAACCCATGCATGTGCCCTGACTGGAAATCAAACCTGAGACCCTTTCCTTTGTGGGCCCATGCTCAATCCACTGAGCTACACCAGTCAGGGCTTTTTTTTTTTTTAAGATTTTATTTATTTTCTCTTAGAGAGATGGGAAGGGAGAGAGAAAGAGAAGGAGAGAAACATCATTGTGTGAGAAATACATGCATTAATTGCCTCTCACACATCCCCAAAATGGGGACCTGGCCCACAACCCAGACATGTGTCCTGACTGGGAATCAAACCAGCGACCCCTTGGGTCACAGGCCAGCACTCAATCTACTGAGCCACACCAGCCAGGGCTGAGGTAGAACTTTAAAAGTGAGCAAGGCAAGCCCTTCTCACCTTGAACTTGGTCATTTTTTCCTCCTAGTTCTGGGGATGCGCAGAGTTTTGAGTGATACAGATCCCAGGAAGGCAGAAGTGTGGTTGGCAGTGCCTGCAAAGGTAAAGGAACAGGCTGTAGGAGTGGCCTGGATGCTGCTCACCTACATGGCAATTATTATGAATAAGTTTGTGAATGTTTATAACAACATGAATCACAGTCACCTAAAACTGGGAAGAACTGAAACGTCGACCTATGTGTGAATAAACAGACAAACTGTGGCACATCCACACAGTGGAATATTATTCCCCAATTAGAAGGAATAAAGTACTGGTTATGGTAGAACATAGATAAACTTTGTAACAAAGGTGTACATATTGTGTGATTCTTTTTTATGCAATGTCCATAATAAGCAGATCTATGGAGACAGAAAATAAGTTGGTTGCCTAGGTATTTGGGAAGAGAATGGGCATTAAGCAACTGTAACTGGGCAGGAGGAATCCAACTGAGGAAACAAAAACGTGCCCCACCCCACTCAGCAAAGTCCCATTTGGTAAAAATAAATGTTAACCTATATGTTATTTAAATGAGTAAAACTAATTTATGGATTCTGAATCTCTACTGATATAATATTTAAATGAATGAATAAATAAAGTGGGAGGGAAGGGGAAGCTTGTCTTTATAGTAGAATGTCCAATAATAAATGTACCTCCCAGAAAAAAACTGTATTAATGTCAAAAAAATAAAAACCTGATAGACATCACCTCAGCTTAGTGAACAAGGCTGATTTCATGGAAAAGGGACTAACCAACATCCTTCAGCTCCTATTGTGTTGTGATGGCAAGGACACACTTCACCACTTCTGTGGGATCCCTGACCGCAATGCAGGATTTGAACCTTACCATGGAATACATCAAATAAATGCCAGAGGACTGGCTCATAAATAGCTTGACTCTGTACTTGTCCAAAGCATTAAGAACAAAACAAAGGCTGTGGAATTGTTCCACATTAAAAAAGAACATTAATAGAAGTATGATAAAAATTTTTGTAAAGTTTTTATAAACAAGGGTATAACTTAAGGCAAATGCATAAAAGTGGACTTTGAAGCTATGGGGAAAACTGACTACACTGTGAGTCTGTGTTGCCTTTCCTTGAGTCCTCCAGTGAAAATACTACATTATGAAGACCTTAAATGAAAAACAGAAGAATATAAATAAAGGACTGTGGATTATATAACAGTACATTATCTAGTATATTTTCTAGCATTATCTATTAGGTAACGCTATTAACCATTAGTAATAATTTATGAAAGTATATGGAAGTTCATTAGTTTATTCTTTCTTGGCAATGTTTTCAAATTTCTACAGTTAAAACAGATGAGGGGAGAAGCATTAAGAGAGGTATGATAAATTTTTTGTAAACTGTTTATAATATACAAATATACATACAAAAAGCATGGAGAAAAAATGTATTAGACATTTAACACTTACTAATTTACATCCTGGATGAATGGGTAATTACAAATTTTTTTCCCTCATGTTTCTGTGATTTCTGAATACTCCATAATGATATGGTTCTATAAGAATAGGAAGTATTTTTTAAAATAAGTGAAGCAAAATAGTTGACAATGGTTTTTAAATTCACAGAAAAGCCCACGTCCATTAGTCTTGTCTTACGGTCCCCCACTGGGACCGTATCCTGAATTGACTGGGATCAAATCCTGATCCCAGTTAATTCCTATAGCTTAAGGAGAATATATCCCAGATTATGAACGCAAGCTCTGGACATAGACTTCCTAAAATCCAACCCCAGCTCAGCCTCTTATTAGGTGGATGACTATGGGCGAAGATTTACGCTCCCGGGAACGCAATCTCATTTTATAGAATAGGAAAAAAAGCAGTGTGTATTTATTTGTATAAAACCATTATCATCAAACTTAGCAGTTAAGGATTAATTATCATCATTACTCATTCCCAATTACACATCCTATATTTTCTCCCATATACGTGAATATCATTGTAAAAGGCAAATGCCAAGTCTCACTCAGGTGGAGCTTTGCTGTCAGTTGCCAAGGCATCACTCCCTCTACACCCATGCAGTCTTTTTTGAGATCCTGAACCGCCAGGATCGCGCTGCCGTCCTCGAAAAAAGTTAGAGCTTCCCCTCCGTGAGTGCAATCAGAAAGCAACCCTTACCTCCACCTCCCTGCCCCAAAAGGTCCGGGATTCACCAGACTCACGCTGGGATGGGAGAGAGGAGGCAGGGTCACTGCAGCTAGAGCTCTGACCCTAACCCGGGAATTTGACAGCTCCTCCGGAGATTAACACTAAGGAGAGATCGGCATTCACCAGGTACCAAGAACTATTTTAAGATTTCAATTTCCAAAAACAATTCCATCGGGAAAGTCCTAATACCCCCATTTCAAAGAACAGCAACGGAGGCACGGGGAAATTAACTCCCCAATGCCAGGAGGTAGAAGAGAGCACAGAAGGATTAAGGAGGAGGACTAGGTGAGCTGAGAGTCCCTGGAACTCTCAAACCAGGCGATAAGCGACCCGAGCCCGTCCCACTTGGGGAAGCCAGAAGCGCCCTAAACGCATAAAAGCATTGTCGACCTCGCCCTTCGTAATTGGCGTCCACCACGGAGACTTCTTTCCCCCTAGGTCATCCGCCGGGTCATTGCGGGTCCTAATCATAGAGACAGAAAGTTCGGACCCGCGAGGAAGATGCAGAACCCACGTACCACTTCAGGAAAATACCGCAGCAACCTCACAGTCCGAGAACGGAAGTGCCTGCGAGATCGCGGAGCTGCTGAACTACATTTCCCAGAATGCACCAGAGCCGCCCTTTTGAGAAGTGCAAGCGATTACGCAAGGTGTCTGGACTACACTTCCCTGAATTCCGAAGGAGAAAGTTTACATATCGGCTTACCCAGTAGGAAAGGGTATTATGTCTATGGTCGGCTCCTTGACTACACTTCCCAAAATGCTAGAGCGGAGATATACCCACAGTCTAAACTTCCTGGGTAGTAACGGGGATGGTTTCCTGAAGAATCACTGTTAACTTTCCCCGAATCCTCCAGCGAAAATATTACACAGAACGACTTCCTGAAGTCGTAACGCGTCCAATGACGACAGGAGTATCTGGAAAGGGAACAAGAGGACGATACACAATCTTCGAGAAATTAACGGAGTTTGGCAGCGCGGCGCTCGGTTGAAGGGAGTGTGTCGCTGGACGCGAGACCAGCTGCGGACGCCTGAGAGGGCATGGGACCGAGCGTCTCTGCCGCCCTGGCAGCCATGAGCTACACAGTCCTAAACGACACCGATGGCGAGGACGAGCTGGGAGCAGAGAACCACCCAAGACGGCTGGGTTTACTATGCCAATCACACTGAGGAGAAAGAAGACTCAGTGGGAACATCTGAAAACTGGAAAAAGGAAACAGCAGATTTGCCATATGGAATGGATCAAGGAACCAATGAGAATGCACAAGTGTATTTCGTTGACCATATAAATAAAAGAACTACGTATTTGTACCCAAGACTGGAATTTACTGTGGATGATAACCCTACAATGCCAGCCACTAGACAGATATATGATGGTAGTACTACAGACATAGAAATACTCCAGGGCTAGGATTTCAAGGGCAAAGTGGTTGTAGTACTGGAGATGATTCAGGAATAGGTTTTGAAAGCTCCAAGTCTTTTGCCCTTCATGGTGTTCACGTGACCCTGATCTGTAGGAATATGACAAGAGCCAATGAAGCCGTGTTCAAGCAATGACCCTGGCCCTCCTCTGCTCTGTAGCTTGCAGCATTTCGCTCCCGAGTTCAAGGCCAAGAATGTGCCCCTGCATGTGCTTGTGTGTAACACAGCGGCTGTTGCTGTACCCTGGAGCCTCACAAAAGATGGCGTGGAGACCACCTACCAGGTGAATCACCTGGGGCACTTCTACCTTGTCCAGCTCCTTCAGATGTCTCATGCTGCTCAGCCCCAGCCAGAGTCATGGTGGTCTCCTGAGTCCCATAGTTTTACAAATACTAATTTTTCCTCAGGAAAAGTAGACTTTAGGCACTTCTCTCCATCTAAAAATGATTGCTGGGCCATGCTGGCTTACAACCAATCCAAACTCTGCAATATTCTCTTCTCCAATGAACTCCATCACATCTCCCTGCATGGGGTCACATTGAAGACAGTACATCCAGGAAACATGATGTACTCCTCCCTGAATCACAACTGGTGGGTTGTACACACTGCTGTTTACCTTGGTCAGGCCTTTCACCAAGTTCAAGGAACGAGTCCATGGAACACTGTCTACTGTGCTGCTACTCCTGAACTCAAGGGTCTGGGAAGGATTTATTTCAACAACTGTTGCTGCTGCCTGCCCTCCCCAGAAGCTCAGAATGAAGAGACTGCTGGGGACCTGTGGGCAGTGAAGGGCTGATCTAAGAAAGACTTGGCACCTACTTCAGCTAAGTGGAAGTGCCGTAAGGATCGGCACACACACCCAACCTGTGTGTGCATGAGTGTCACTGCCAATGCTGAACACCTTGCAATTTATCATCCAGGGGCTTTTCTGTGTCCTGCTGACACAGTTCCACCAGAGTAAAGAAAATAAAATAGTCACAGCAGGTGGCAAAATGTTAGGTACCAATGGGAACCAGGGGGATTCCAGGGATCAAGGGAGTCTGTGGCTGGTTTAGGCTTGGATCCCTTTGCTCTCCTGGTGATGGCCTGTTTGAAAGTAAATGCTTGGTTGGTATGTGAGTTCCTCCTCATTGTAGAAGCACAAGCAATTCTGTTTGATTAGAATAGTCCGGTACCCCTGCCCTACCCAGCTGCCACCACAGCCACACTGCAGACAGGAGCTATCTCCTGTTTAGGTAAGAAAAAAAAAAAAAGTGTTTATTCTTCTTTGGTGCATCATCCAGAAGAAAATCGTTTCATTTGTCCAGAGCAAGTCTCACTGGACTTGGAAACTACTGAAAAGAGAACTCTGAGCCTTGTTCCAATCAGCCAAGATGGAGGTGACACTGAGAAATCAGTGGGACAGAGCTAGTGGGTCACAAAGTGCTGGTCCTAACACTCCCTTGACAAACTGTATTTAAAAATTCTTTAAAAATTAAAAAAAATTAATTTTAGAGAGGGAAAGAGAAAACATGTTTGTTGTTCCGTTTATTTATGCATTCATAGGTTGATTCTTGTATGTCCCTTGACTGGGGATTGAGCCCAAAACTTGGTGTATCAGAACAATGCTCTAACCAACTGAGCTGCTGGGCCAGAGCTACACAAAAAGTTCTTCAGAGATTATAAGAAACAAATTTTTTGAAGCGTTCCTCCACTTCCTTGACAGGCAGGAAAGGAAGCACTGTGTCTGTAAGAATATACAGGGTAGTTTTTGGGTGCGGAATCCCTTTTATTCTTTATACAGTTCCAAGAAGCAACACAATCATGGAAGTTTACAGCTTCTCAGAGCTCCTGCCTTAGCATTCTGCTTAAAATTCCTATTATTCTCTCATCCTATGCTTAATAAAAGAACATGCCTGGGTATTAAAAAATAAATTAATGGAGAATGACTGTCTAGAGGACACCAGATTAAAAGGATAATGTTCAGTATAATGTGACAATATGAGGCTAAAAGGGGGTTTAAGGAACGAGCAAGGTAAATGATTTGGGAGGTAGAATGATTTGATGAAGAGCAATGAAGCTACCAGCACCAACTGTGGACCCTGTGGCATCACTAGTTTGGCAGGAAAGGCAACTTGAGAGGGCCAAAGTGGAAGCTGGTCCTCATGGAAAAGTGCTGCCCTCATTTTAACTTTTAATTCGTTATAATCATCCCTATTTTAGAGGTAAAAAACATCAAATTTCAGAAAAATTTTCCCACTATCTGAAACCAAGCCTAATCGCTGAAGAGCTCAGCATTGGAGTCATTTTGACTCTCAAAGCCTATGATTTAATGCCAGGGCACTGATGATGATTCTACAGGCGAGGGAGCATGTTTTAGCATTGAGTTTTTTAACTTTGTATTTCTAGTTTAAAAATCCTTCTGATGGTTACCACTTTTAAAACACATTACTGGAAACTAATTAAAATTGTATAAAGGAAATTTTAAGAAAAAAAATGCACTTAGATTCTTTCTCCTTGAAGATAAATTTTTTTCTCCCCATAAACATACATATAAATATCAACAAAATGAAGTCTCATGTTCTGTATTCATTTTTTTCTTTTTAAAAGGTTTTACTTATTTTTACAGAGAGAAGGGAAGGTGAGAGGAAGAAAATCATCAATGTGTGGTTGCCTCTCATGTGCTCCTTACTGGGGGCCTGGCTGGCAACCCACACATGTGCCCTGACTGGAAAATAAACCATCAATCCTTTGGTTCACAGGCCAGCACTCAATCCACTGAGCCACACCAACCAGGACTGCATTTTCTAAACTCAATATAAGCCAGACAGTTTCTAGTATCCGTCAGTGAAAATCTGACTCCTTCCAAATGACTGCTGTATAATGTTGCACTGAATGGATTCAGAACTAAAAACAAAACCACCCCTAACATGTAGAAGTGGGCAGGGCACTCACAGCTAGGCCACGTTATCCTCCTTTAGGACATAAAAGAATCACAGCATACCATCTTCAAATGAGACTTCTCTGGGACTATGGTAAAGTGAGATAAAACAAGGCCTTTTTCATAATTTTGTTTAGACATAGACAAAAACAAGGTCACCATGCTGCCCACACAACACCAGATACCCTCCCCCACTTGGCTAGATGGCTATTTCTTTACCATTCAGAGCTTTATTCTAGCTCTAATTTGCCCTCTCAAAGGTTACATTTATTGCAATACTCAATATTAGAATTCTCAGACACCATCTAATCTAGAGTGCTTCCTCAGGCCTTACCCAAAACCAGAAAGCAAGGGTCCCACCACTGCAAAAAAGTTTATTTCTCCATTTCAGTACACAACCACATTGGTACATAGCCATATGACCCTTGGGGGAAAAGATTAATAGCACACATATTTGCATGATGGCAGGTTCCACTGTCAAGAGGACTTTGTCTCCCCTTCATCCAAGGGATTCTGGGTTTGTAAACTGGCCACATTTTATAATTGATTTAGGGTCTGGGACTCTGTTTTTGGTGATTCAAATTAGACATTTGTTCATTTGTCCTAGAACTCTGTCACCTAAAAAATCAAAAAAATGATTTAGTAGACTTGCCATCTACTTACTTACTAGTGATACTCCAAGATCAACAGGAAAGGTCAAGAAGCCAATGCATAATGACTTGAAGCTTTCAGGTTGAGCTGGAATTTGAGATCACGAGCGCATCTTTCTCATTCCCACTTTCTCCAGCACAGTTAGAAGCAATCAGAAAATCCCATTATACTCCTTAGTTTGACCAGTATGTTCTAAATACCTCATGATCATCCAGTACCTTGCCTTCAGTGATTACTTCACTAATAGCAGCAAATGTGGTATTTTGCGTATTTTTGTCATGCTAATGACTACCAATGCTCTATTTTCCATGGGAAACAAAATCATTAGTGCCTTTAAATATAATGATTAGAGAACCAATTCCAGAACACACATTCAGGAAACTCCCCCTTAAATTTCTGTTCCGCTAGAACCACCCTCGGAACAAAAATCTTTTTTGGTAAGGCTTCAAAGGAACAGAATAATCAGGAGAGAATACAGAGATTTATTGCAAGGAACTGCCTTACAAGATTGTGGGGCTGGCTTGGCAAGTGAAAATCCCTAGGAGACACCATTAGAAGGGCCAAAATGGAAACATGGAATGGTATTACCTTTCAGGGAAGTTTCAGCTCTGCTCTTAAGGACTTTCAACTGACTGAATCAGGCCAACTGAGATTATATATTACCCCTTTCTCAAAGGATTATGGACTTTAATCACCTCTACAAAACCTTCTCAACACCTAGGTTTGCACATAATCGAATACAAAAGAACTGGAGTCTAGGCAAGTTGCCACATTAAATTGACTATCCCACTTATCTTCATCAGTAAGAAACTGGTTAAGGAAATACTGTGCAGGTGACCTTCAACAACTGTTTCAATGAGTGAAACACTAACTATAATTAGAAAATAGTATGAATCATGTTCCTAGTTTGTAAAATTCTGTGACTATTACTTAAATGCATATACTGAAGCATGCTCACCAAAATATTAATAGCAAGTCTCCCTACTACTTTCCACACTCTCCTTTGGACTTTCCTGTACTGATACAATTTATTTTCAATGAAATTAATTTTTAAAACCTTCCAAGAAATATTTGTATTGATATGCATGTAACAAAATATCATCTGTAGATGAAGACATGTTTTGAGAATTACTTTAAAATTAATGTCAAAGAAACAGGATATATTAGACTCAACTCTTTAAATGAATAACCTATCAATATGGTTAGACTTTAATAACTTGGGAAGCTTCTCTTTTTTAGAGATAGGATGTTCTCTAACAACCCCTATTAAATGTAGTCATGTTCAAAGTTAAAGAAAGGGAAATCCCCAGGTGCACCCCGCCCCCAAAAAAGAAAGTGAAACCCACAGTGAAAAGTGGGAGCTTGAACTCAATGGTCCCACAAAGGCTCAGGAAACTAGAGCTGGGAATTAACCATTGAATTCAATATAATACATTCATGCACTAGCCTTCATGCACTCTGGGCTACAAGAACACAAACCAGCTAGTCCCAGGTGTTATCTCATGCCCACCTTGAGGAATCCTACCTACAAACTTCAGTTTTAGAAGTACTTTTGTTTAATCTGGTGAGGTTTGTTAGAAATAATTACCTTGGAGAAAACTTACTCTGGCATTTGATGAGTTTAAAAGAGAAAAGACTACAGGCCCTAGATTTGATGCCATATGTGCAGGAAAGTTAGTAAAGCAGTCCTGACTGTGATCCTTAGAAAGGCCTGCAAGTTGGACTTTGGCTGGTGACAGGAAACACGGATTTTGAGTTTCCACCATTCCGTAACTGTTCAGAGCTGTGCACTGTCGTTTATTCCTCACACCCGCTTTCCTTATTGAAGCCTGGGATTTTGGTACATGCTGACCAGATGATGCTTACATGACCAGCCCCCAATAAGTACTGGTCTCCAAGTACTTACAGGGCCTACAATGAGGCCCTGTTGTAGACATTTCACATGTGGCCAAAATTAAGTGCTAGAGGAATTGAGTCCCATGTAATACCATGGAGAGAGGACTCTTGGAAGCTTACACCTGATTTCCTCCAGACATCTTCAATGTGCCTTTTCCCTTCACTGATTTTGCTTCATATCCTTTCACTGTAACATGGTCCTAAGTCCAACTACACTGAGTCATGAGAGGAAACCAGAGAACCTGAAGGTAACCTTAGGGACTCCCAAACCACTATGCAAATTGATAGCATGGATCTTAGTAAGTACATAAAATTCTGTGAATGCAAAGTCTAGAAAATTACAAAAATAAAATTACCTCTATTACTTTGCTAAGTAAAGCCTTTTAGCCTAATACACTTAAAATATCACGATGGTGTAAGAAGTAGGAAATGGCATCTAAAGCTGCTCTCTCTTTGGAGGCTCCATTATCATGCTGTTTCCTATCCATGCACACCTTTTCTCCCAAGAATCTTTAAACTGCCCTAACATGTGTATCCCCACTTTATTTCTATCTCCAGTATTTGCCCACTCCTTGGCTTATGCTTAAAGATGTATCACACGCATTAACTGCAAAGATAGTTGATCACACTCATTAATTTATCTGTCTACTCAAATAACCATAAAGGTTTTTGAGTATTGACTGAATCCTATTCCTTAATTTTGATTTTATATGTCGTATGATAATATAGTACAATCATTAGGAATCCTTACCTGTAAAGGATTCATATTAGTCACTTTTCAAATTCCATTGTACACAATTTACCAGTATGATCAAATTGGTGCTCACTGAGAAATTTAAACACATAATTAATGAAATTATAAAATGTAAATACCACCAAATAATCTGACAGAGATTACTAAGAGTGTCCCTTTCCACATATATACATACACACACATGCAAATTTATGGATTTAATTTTACAAAGGCCACAGTCTGATTTCACAAAGCCCATATTATGTTCTTCTCCTGTAATTACATGTCCTTGCCATCGCTTTAATTCATTATTATGGAAATATATAATTTAAATTCCTATTGATGAACAGTTGTTATTTCTTTTCTAAAAATCGTATGGCATTATTGATGTGGTAGTCCCTTTTCCATAACCTTACATTCTTATACTATGATTTCCAAATCAGAGAGTCATGCCTTACACAATGTTATATCTGATTTTCGAAAGATATATTTTTACCAAAAAAGGAAAGCATGTAAATGTTATTCCTCCACCACTATTAAATACATTGGAAATTACCAAGTCCCAACAAGTTCTGGTATTTACTTCATGGGAATAAGGGAAGAATATAGGAAGTTGAGAAATTAAATGTCCTTCAAATTTGCCAAAGCCTCTAGCAAAGATGTTTGACAAAAGATATGCTACAATTAAAAAGCAGTCATATCAAAGCCTATATGGAAATACAGAAATTTAAAATTCAATCAATTCAAGATTAAGAAAACTTTTGTCACTAGTACTAAATCTGACACTTTGAATGGGTTACTTTGCACACTTCCCTTAACACTGCTGAAAAATTTCTATTGTGGTATGTGCAGTAGACAGTTATTACCGTTAAAACTGCACTGTGCAAAAAATCAAAAGTGAGATACATGAATTTATACTATATATACACCAATGAGACACCAAAGAGAAATCCAAATAATAAGAACAGCCCCCCCCCGACACACACACAAAAAAAAGAGAGAACCCAATCTCAGAACAGAGCCAGAGGGTAGGGCGAGAGTCAACTGCAAGGATACCACCAAAATAATGCGGTGGGATCTAGTACCCAGTGTACTTCTGCATTTCGACTCGTTTCTTTGAATTGTTTATTTTTGCAGGCTTCCTCTTCCACGTAAGCTTTATATAGTATATATTTTCTCCTTCTGATTTCACAAACACATACTGAGTACATGTGCTAATCAATGTTCAGGTTATGTAGGTTCTGCAGCAAACAAGCTCCCTGTCCTCATACCCTTACTGCACCACTTGTGTGGTTTCAGAAGCACCGGGATGTTGAGCTATGGCTGAAACATTCACTTTAATTAAACAAATTATTTTTTTCCCTCTGAGAATGTATGAAATTTCTCATTAATATGGCTTCTGTAATGAAGTTTAAAATATGAACTTGACCTGAAGTGCTTACCACATATCTCACACTTGTAAGGTTTCTCCCTTGTATGAACTCTCTGGTGAGATTGTACATGTGCAAACTGACTGAACAGCTTACCACACACGTCACACTTATATGGTTTCTCTCCAGTATGGACTCTCTGATGAAGTTTAAGATGTGAGGCCCTACTTAGGTGCTTTCCACACACCCAACATGTATACGGTTTCTCTCCTGTGTGGATGCTCTGGTGCACAACAAGATCCAAGCTTGTCTTGTAGCCTTTCCCGCATGTCTCACATTTGTACGGCTTTTCTCTGGTGTGGACCTTTTGATGAGCTTGCAGGTATGATTTCCGACCAAATCTCTTCCCACACTCTTCACATTTGAATGGTTTTTCTCCACTGTGGACTCGCTGATGGGCCAAAAGATGTGAAGCCCACCTGTAGCTCTTCCCACATTCCTTACAATCATAGGGTTTCTCTCCTGTGTGGATCCTCTGATGGTAATAAAGATCTGCTTTAGAATAGAAGCTCTTTCCACACTCCTCACATTTGTATAGTTTCTGTCCCATGTGGATGCTCTTATGGATATGAAGATGTGAATTCCAGCCAAAGCACTTCCCACATTCCTCACATTTGTACGGTTTCTCCCCCGTGTGGACCACACAATGACTATTAAGTGCCGACCTACGACGGAAGTTCTTCCCACATATATCACATTTGAATGGTTTCTCTCCAGTGTGGACTCTCTGATGGTTGTGAAGATGATGAGCATGAATGAAGGCCCTCCCACATTCCTCACACTTATAAGGTTTCTCTCCTGAGTGTAATTTGCAGTGGTCAATAAGTGTTGCTCTACGACTGAAGCCTTTCCCACACTGCTCACATTTAAATGGTTTCTCTATGGTGTGGACTTTCTGATGAGTTTGCAGGCGTGAGCTATGACTGAATTCTTTACCACACTTACCACACTTGTAGCACTTCTCTCCCAAGTGAACTCTCTGATGAATATGGAGTGCCGAGCTATGGTAGAAGCTTTTTCCACACTCACCACATGTATGAGACTTTGCTCCTGACCGTCGATGAAGATTAAAGTTGGAGATATCACCAAAAAATATTTTACACTCATTTTCTGGGTAAGTTTTCTGGCCTGTGTGAATTATAGGCAGTCCTGCCCCAAGTTGGCTGGTTGAATCAAACTGTCTGGGGAACTGAGAACTCCTTATCATGGAGTCTTGCCTCCTGATTATGTCACTTGCAATTTTTTGCCAAATATACCAGCAGGAAAGCTCTTCATGTGGTTCTGCTTCTGGAACAGTCTCCATCTCATATTGGATCTTGCCTCCTACAGGGAGAGAAAATGGAAAGATGTGGACAAGTAAAGATTCTGTTCAGTGCCTTCAAGATTTCACATTTTGGAGACAGCGTGAGACTTCAATAAATCCAGGGTGTATTCACTTTGTCCTTTGAGTATGAATCACGGTCTCTGGTTTACATGCCTACAGAAACCAAGAGGTAGTCTAGTAGGCTCCTATCCATTAAGAATCAAATCCCAGTTAGAACCACATCAAGTCTCCCATGTGAAGCACAAGTTATTCTCTTTTGTTCTTTATTTCTTTTGTTTACATAAGGTACAAGGTAGAAATCAAAGACTTCATAACAAAATATAGTAATATGATACACGATGTCAATCCATTGATATTTCTACTGAATTTTATAATCAATGTAAACTCTTGGATAGTAAATTATGCAGCAAATAAATTACATATACAATGGTGCTGGCCAGGTGGCTCAGTTGGTTGGAGTGCTGCCCCATATACCAAAAGGTTGGGGGTTTGACTCCCGGTTAGGGTGTGCATGGGAGGCATCCAGTCAATGTTTTTCTCTCACATCAATGTTTCTCTTTTTTCCTTCCTCTCTCTTTAAAATAAATAAATATATCCTTGGGTGAGGCTTTAAAAATATTATATACACACACCTTGGCTGGTGTGGCTCAGTGGTTGAGTGCTGGCCTGCAAATCAAAGTGTCGCTGGTTCGATTCCCACTCAGGGCACAGGTCCCCAGTAGGAGCACACAAGAAACCAACCACACACTGATGTTTCTCTCCCTTTCTCCCTTCCTCTCTCTAAAAAATAAATAGATATATTTTTAAAATTATACACACAATATATGAATTAATACAAACTTTAAGGAAAAGCAATAACATAATCAATACTTTGTATATTTGTGTTTATGTCACATATCCTTAGGTGGTAAGAAAAATCAATCATACCAAAGAAAAAATCTGGTCTTTGCCCTCGACATCTGAGAGATAAGCTCTAAGCATGTGAAATGTCATGCCTGAAGAGTGGCTGAAGGTCTTGGGTAACAATGGCTGGTCTAACAGTATGATTTAGGAATGAAGCTGACCATACCAGAAAGACGAAAATGTAACTATAGACAGAGATTTCAGTTACCCAGTGGTGTGAACCAGGAGACTGAAAATAACCACACGAACTATTCAACATACACTGGCCATGTGATGGAATTGCAGTAATTACTCTGCACGCTGAGGCTCAAGTGGGCTTCCCTGATTGGCGATACCCTGTAATTTCACACCTGCATGTTGGAAAGTAACACAGAAAAACACAGGAACCTTGACTCCATTCAGAGAAGACAATGGAAACTCTGCATTTGGCTCTTCCCTAGGATCCCTGTCACATGCTTTTTCTCTTACTTACTTGTAAGGCATATCCTTCTGTGCAATGAGCACTAACCATGAGTGTAACAGCATTCAGTGAGTTCTATCAGGCCTTCTTGGAGACACATTCAATGTGAAGGTAGTTTTGGGAACCCCTCCAAACTTGCAGTTGTTGTCAAATGCAGGAGTGTAAGCTATCCCTCTAAATTTTGTAGTTGGCTAGACACCTTACAATCTTATATATCAAAAACCTAGAGTTGTTTGTATTTATACAGGCAAAGTATTCCTACAAATTCTACACAATATATGTAGTTCATCTTATTTTTCTGTGTTGATACATGCAGTAACAACTAAGATATCTTAGTTAAGATATCTGATTAAAAAACTGCAGTTTTGCTATGAAGCCAAATCTGTATCCCACAGGGACAGACAAAGGGTGATGCTACAGATGAGAAAGTTAAAGGGTGAAAAGAACACACAAGGACCCCTATAATGGCTTCTTCCGAGGCGTCTGGACTGTCTCTTTCAAAACAAAGCATGGAAAAACTTTGAATGGAGAAAAATTGGGCTTTCACGTCAGTTTTTCAGATTGAAAACTGTAGCCTTTTACTTAGTTGTAAAATGAATTTAAAATCATGCAGTAAACATTTGGAAAAAAGAATCAGAATAGAAACTTTGATATCAGAGCATCATTATCAGAGAAATGAGACCATTGCATGAATTGTCTACACACGTTTAGTATGTCCCTGGTTACACTGAAAGATGCATTTCTCAGAATGGCTTGTGATATAAAAAGTTTGAAAACTTGGTTCAGGAACTTAGTGAGTCCTTAATTAAACAAATTATTCAAGTGGAAAGATAAGTTCTGAGAATGGAACCTTAGAAAAATACTACTAGGTGAGTATGTACCTCTGAACAGGTACTACAGTTTAAGGTTCAATTTAATAAATGGTCACTTTAAAATAGTCTTGGGGGGAGGACACAGAAATCTTTCTGAGGATGCGACAATTTTGAATGGGCAGTTTCTTGATATCTTCCAGGTTATATTGTTCATCAGTTGAAAATGAAACAACATGTCTCTATAAAAATGAAGGAAAATCATGTGAAATCATTATTCCGTAGATTTGTTTAAAAGCTTTTATAGAAAATAAGCCGTGGAAATATACACATTTTTAACCAAAACTGATCAGGAATAGACAACATCTAGATGTGTGACCACTGTGACTTTCACCCTCATTCTTCCCCTTCTAGCACATGGAAGAGAAAGCTGGTGACAGTGAAGTGGATGTTGACTTTGTAAGAAGGAAATGGCAGCAGATGGGCAAGTGATGCAGAGGAAATGCAGCCTGCAAGCTGATTTGGTCTCAGAGCTCTGGATATATAGTTTTTTCCATTTGTGGCAAACTGCCTAGGAGAAGACACCAGACTCCTCATTAAAGAAAGCACTACTCCCTGGAAATGAGTATGGCCCCTATGGAAGGCTCTAGAAAAGCCACAGGGAAAGCATGATCCTCAGTGTGATCACAGCTACAGTGCTTAGAAGCTTCCCTGGGATATGGGTCAAGTGCACACACACAAACACACAATCATGTTAAATCTAGGTAAGTACAAATTGGATTGGCAGTCATTTGGAGACAAAAAATGTTTTCAGTATCTTTAATTTGCTCTGTCATATTTATCACTTATTAGCTGTCTCCACAAGACATGAATGACTTGGAAGACAAGAAAAGGAAACATGAGGGTCTATGCAATCGTTTCTTATGTGGGTTCTGGACTGTTTGTTTAAAAACAGTGTGGAAAACCTTTGGCTATAAATAAATTGGTCTTTCATATCAGTTTTTCAAATTGGAAACCACAGGTCTTCAGTGAGCAATGAAATAAAAGCCTGTAATAAGCATTTAAGAAAACAAACAATAGAAACTATCAAAACATTACCAGCAGCCCTGGCCAGTATGGTTCAGTTCACTGTAGTGCCATCCCATAAACTGAAAGTTTGCAGGCTCCACTCCTGATCAGTACATGCTTAAGGCTGTGGGTTCAATCCCCTGTCAGAGCATGTATGAGAGGCAACCCATTGATGTTTCTTTCTCTCTCCCCACCCCCTAAAGTCAAAAAGCATGTCCTCTGGTGAAGATAAAAAAAAAATCAATACCAGCAGGAAAGATAGTAAGGACAGTAAGGCTCACCTATCCAATAACTAATTCATTGAGTCAGTAAATATTTACAGATATCTGCCATGTCCCAGGACTATTCTAGGCACTGAGTATACAGCAATGAGCAAAACAATTAAAATTCACCTCCTGCCCTGGCTGATGTAGCTCAGTGAACTGAGCACCAGCCTGTGAACTGTAAGGTAGGTGGTTAGATTCCCGGTCAGGGCACATGCCTGGGATGGGTTACAGGCCAGGCCTTTAGTTGGAGGCGTATGACAGGCAACCAATCCTTGTATCTCGCCCTTTCTTTCTCTCTCCCTTCCAATCTCTGTATAAAGAAAATCTTAAAAAAAACCTAAAATAAAATTGTAAAATATTTCTCCTCCTGCAGATCATATACCACTGGGGAGAGAGAAGTGATAAACAAAAATATATGAGACACAGTATCAGGCAAGCAAAGATATGATTGTACTTTAAGTAGGTGGTCGAAAGGCCTGTGTCATGATATTGAAATTAAGCAGGCAATGAAGGAAGAAGGACCTGTAGGATTTTATGTGAAAGAGTATTCTAGGCAGAAAGAAGTAGTAAAGGACCCTGAGGGGAAAGCTTCTGTAGTATACTTAATAATGGTTCTGGAGAGATGTCCAATCCAGTCCCCAGAACCTATGAACATGTTGTTATACAGCAAATAGGAACCGAGTTGCAGATGCAATTAAGGTTGCTAATCAGCTGACCATAAAAATGAGAAGAGCATCTGGGATCATGTGAGAGGGGCCAATATAATCAGAAGTGTCCAGGAAGGTAGAAGACAGAGTCAGAAGAGTGGCAGAGGAAGAGTACAGAAGAATGGTCGGGAGTGCAATGTTGATGGTTTTGAAGATGGAGGAAGGAGAACAAGAGCCAAGGAATAGGGCAGACCCTAGATGCTGGGAACCCAAGGGACAGGTTTTCCCCACTCGAACTGTTCATATCCTAGATATGGTCTTCACGTAGCAGCCAAAATGATTTTTTGGAAATGTAGGTCACACTGCCATTTCTCTGTTCAAAATCTTTGGCACCTACAGACACTTTGATTTTAGCTTAGTGAGATGTCAGACTTCACACCTAAAGAACTAAAATATAATCAAATTTTGTTGATAGCTCTGTGTTTATAGTAATTTGTTACAGCAGCAATAGGCAATATATAGTGTCCTTGGCAGGTCTGAGGAATACCATGGAGGACAATGTGAGTGGGACAAATGGAGCAAGAGGGCAAGGACAGCACAGCAGATGTATTCAGAGAGGGAATGGAGACACAGAGCAGGCCACAAGGGACTCCAGACTCCAAAAGCCACTTTAAGTGGCTTCAAAAAGCCATAAAGATTTTGAATGGAAAAATGGCAATGTAACTTACATTTCCAAAGGGTCACTTTGGCGCTATGTGAAGAACACATCTAGGATGGCTACCAACACCAAGGTGATGATAACAATTCAGGAGACATCTGGGGATTTTGAACGAGGTGATGGAAATCAGCATGGAGAGAGGGAAGCACAATAGATGTGAGAGTTGCCTGCAGGACTCAGAACTGTTTGGTTCTCACCTGAATTCCCTGTTCTCTGGGTTACCATCGTTTTTTTCCCCCAAAAGATTTTATTTGTTTACTTTTTAGAGAGAGAAAAAGAGAGGAAGAAAGAGAAGGAGAGAAACAGCAATGCACGAGGGACACATGGATCGGTTGACTCTCACAGGCCCTATACTGGGGACCTGGTTGGCAACCTAGGCATGTGCCCTGACTGCACCTTTCAGTTCACAGCCTGGTGCTCAATCCACTGAGCTACACCAGCCAGGGCTGGGCTGCCAACTTCATCATCCAAAACTCTTCTCCCCTTACTAAGTGGATCATGTCTTGTTTGAATGGTTGATGCCTTGTGAACATGCGAAGTCACATCCTTAAAACAAAAACATTCTAAGTGAACTTTCCTGGAAAATTAGGTTCCCACTGCATACTCTTCTAGTAATCAGAAGCAGAGTTTTCCAAACTTTTTTTTTTCCATAACCAATTTGAAGAAATGCCATTTGTCAAAACCCATTCACATATATAGAGTTAGGAAGTTCTTCCTCCTTGAACTTTTTGGAAGCGTATGAGAAGGATCAAGATTATCTAACCTATTTCCTTAAAAATTGAGAGTAGGGCTCAACAGGTTTTATAACGCATGATAGAGTCAGGAACTTGTAAGGTAGAGCAGTATACTTATACTATGTACTTATAGTTCCTTAACAAAACACAAACTTGCCTATTGATAAAACCAAAATAATTCCCTCTCTGTGTCCCCCACATATAGGGTGGGGAAAAAGTAAGTTTACAGCTGTGAGTACACAAAACAGTTTATTGTTGTATTAGTATTTATTAACTATTATATTATTTTCCATACAAGCTGTAAACCTACTTTTGCCATACCCTGTATTAAAAAAGTCAGACTCCCAAATCCAGGGAACCATTTCAAAGACCCCAAAGCCTTGAACACCCAAGGATACAAAGCCACTCCTGGAAGCTAACATTCAGTTAGAGAGGGCACTTGTCCTCACCCACTGAGATCAGGTTCCGGAAGTTCTCCAGCATCACATCTCGGTATAGCATCCTCTGGGACGGGTCCAGCAGCTCCAGCTCCTCCACAGTGAAGATCACGGCCACATCCTTGAATGTCACAGCCTCCTACAACACCAAATACAGGCAACCTCAACCTTACAACCAACCTCTACTGCAGCAGAAACAGCGCTGAGCAGATGTTCTCTTCTTATCTGTCCTTTCAAACATGATGGCTAATATTCCTTGACCCCTGCTTGGTTTCCTGTGTGAATCTAAGCAGGTTTCTCATATTTTACCTATATAAATGGAAGATGAAATCAAGAACCTCCTTATCCAGCAGCTCTAGGGAATAAATACAGAGACAGAACTAACTGCCTGGCCTATGCAGCAAGACTGGACTTTTTTTCTTTTCTTTTTTTTTTTAATTTTGGAGAGAGGTAACGGGAGGAAGAAAGGAAGAAAAACATCAACTGGTTGCCTTCTGCAAGTGCCTGGGCCTGGGGCATGTGCCCTGACTAGGAATCGAACTGGTGACCTTTTGGTTTGTGGAGGCCACACTGGCCAGGGCTGAGACTGAACATATTTTTAAAAGATTTTATTTATTTATTTTTAGAGAGAGGAGGAAGGAGGAAGAGTAGGAGAGAAACATTGATCAGTTGTTTCTCGCACACACCCAACTGGGGACCAAACCCGCAACCAGGCAAGTGCCCTCAATGAACCGGCAACATTTTACTTGGTAGAACAAAGACCAACCAACTGAGCCACACCGGTCAGGGCAAGACTGGACATTTTAAATTAAGGTTATATCTTAGTTTATAACTGGAGGCAACCAAGAAGTCCTTCAGGTGGCAAATGGATAAAATGTGGCACATCCAGGACACAGAATAATTTAGTATAAAATAAATGAGCTATCATCCTGGCTGGTGTGGCTCAGTGGATTGAGCACAGGCTTGCGAACTAAAGGGTCACCAGTTCAATTCCCAATCAGGGCATATGCCTGGGTTGTGGGTCAGGTCCCCAGTAGTGGGTGTGTGAGAGGCAACCAGGCATTGGTGTTTCTCTCCTTCCTTCTCCATCCCTCCCCCCTCTGTAAAAAATAAATAAAACCTTTAAAAAAGAAATGAGCTATCAAGCCACAAAAAGACATGGAGGTAACATTAATGCATATCACTAAGTAAAAGAAGCCAGTCTGAAGGCTGCATATGTATGACTCCAACTATATGGCATTCCAGGAAACAGTAAAATTATGGAGACTGTAAAAAGATCAGTGTTTCCCAGGGCTGCAGTAAGGGAAGAATAAAGAGGTGGAGCATACGGGATTTTTGGAACAGTGAACATACGTGTGTATTAACAGTATAACAGCAGGGACGTGTCATTATAGATTTGTTTACACCTGTAGAATGTACACAGAATGAACCCTAATGTAAAGTATGGACTCTGGGTGACATTGTGTTAATGCAGGTTCATCGATTGTAAAAAAGTACCAATCTGGTGTGTGGGGGGTGGGTATGTGTTCAGAATGGGGGCGGCCCTGACTGGTGTGGCTCAGTGGTTGAGCGTTGTCCCACAAAGCAAAAGGTCGCTGATTCAACTCCCAGTAAGGATACATGCCTGGGTTGTGGGTTTGGTCCCTGGTTGGTGTATATGAGAGACAACTAATGGGTGTTTCTCTCACATATCGATGTTTCTTTCCCTCTTCCTCCCTCCCTTTTCCTCTCTCTAAACATAAATGAAATCTTTTTTAAATTTTTATTTATTTATTTTTAGAGGGGAAGGGAGGGAGAAAGAGAGAGAAACATCAATGTGTGGTTGCCTCTCACATGGACCCCACTGGGGACCTGGCCGGCAACCCAGGCATGTGACCTGACTGGGAATTAACTGGCGACGCTTCGGTTCACAGCCTGCGCTCAATCCACTGAGCTACACCAGCCAGGGAAATAAATAAATAAATAAAATCTTTAAAAAATATTTTAAAAATAAGAATTGGAGAGGCTGTATATGTGTAAGGGCAGGGGTATATGGGAAATCTGTGTACTTTGTTGGATTTTACTTTGAATACAAAACTGCCCTAAAAAATAGTCTATTATTAAAAGACACACATATGAAGTTATATATTACTTTTGAAAAATAATTAATACACAAAGGCATAAAAGTAGATCAGTAAGTAGAAGACATTAAAGTTATTTTAATAGAAATAAATGTTATAACATTCAATGAAAATCCACTATTTAATTTAATGAGATGTAATCATGAATATTAATAAAGCTATGGATGCACATGAGGAAAAGACTATGAGAAAATAATAGTTAATGTGCCAGCGGTGATGTAATAAAGTTGGAGAAGTGGCCCTGACTGGTGTGGCTCAGTGGACTGAGTGTCAGCCTGAAAACAAAAGGGTTGCCAGTTGGATTCCCGGTCAGGGCACATGCCTGAATTGCGGGCCAGGTCCCCTAATTGGTAGTGCGAGAGAGGAAGCCACACGTGGATGTTTCTCTCCTGCTCTTTCTGCCTCCCTTGACCGCTGTCTAAAAATAAATAAATATTTTTTTTTAAATGTCAGAGAATTGGTCATTTCTATTAATTTGTCCACACTTATTTTTGAAATAAAATGAATAATGACAAACACTAAATACAAACACTAAAAACAAGTACAAAGCAAACAGGTCTTTAAATTAAGTGCCTGGTGTTCTCCTTGAGTCTCCTTCAAGAAAAAAAATACCTATGACCTTCGGAATAGTGAGACAGAATTTTAAAAAAGGTAAGCCATATGTACCTTAAATGTGGTCATTTTTTCTTATTACTTCCGCAAATGTACAGATTCCTGAGATATGGAGAATCCTGGTAGGCAGAACTGTGCCTGGTAGTGTCTGAAAAGACAGAAAAAGAACATGAAAAGGTGATCAAGAATGTTGCTCACCTCCATGAATGCTTACTGTGAACTGGCCAAGCAGCCCCTTTCCTGAGGTGGCTGCTGTTGTACACAACTTGATGAGACCACAGAAGGGCACACAAATCCCGCACAATACATACTGGTACCATCTCCAACATCTTGTGGCTCCCAAGGTAGAAAATTGGATTCAGATATGATACACATTGAATCATCTCTGGGACAATATCTGGGTTTAAATCCTAGTTCAGCCTCTCACATAGCTGGGTCATCTTAGGCAAATTAACAATATCTCTTTTCCTCAACTGTGTCATCTGTACACCTGAGAGAACATTACTTCCAATTTAACTGAACTGTTCTGAGCTGGACAGCACTTTGAGTACTATCCAGGTTTTATTTTTGTAGCTATAGTAAAAAAACACTTCATAATACGAAATTGGTCTTGCAATGTGATCATTACCAAAACACATTGTACAATACCTGGACTTCTGACATGACCATTCTGTTCTGTAAACATCATTCATAACCTTTGAAAAATCTGTTAACTCTCCCTCACTGTCTTCCCTAATAATGTGTTATCTTAGCAATAACTTTTAAATTGCCACAGGCAAATGTTTCTGGGGGAAAAAAACAAAACAAAACGTGGTGTCTAGTGTCTAGTTAGAAACACAAGATCTGAAAAAGATTTGTGGAAAACAGTTTTGGCAGTTTCTCAAAAAGTTAAACCTAAAGCTAGCAGTTAACCAAGCAATTCCACTCCTAGGTATCTATTCAAGAGAAATGGAAACACATCTCCACACAAAAATTTATATGTAATTATTTATGAAACTGTTATTCATAAAAGCCCTAAACAGGAAACAACTAAAACGTCTACCTATGAGTGAATGGATAGGGAAAGTATGGTATATCCACAATGAAATATTCATAGGCAATAAAAAGGAATGAAATTATGATATATACTACAACATGGATGTTGAAACACTTGAAACACTGTAAATGAAAGAAGCCAGTCACAGAAGACCACATATTATATGATCACATTTAAATAAAAGGTTCACAATACAAAGACAGGAAATAAGCTAGTTGTTGTCTGGGGTGTGAAGACAGGGATTACTTATAAATGAGATTAAACAATCTTATTGTAGGAATGAAAATGTTCTAAAACTGAATTATGGTAATAGTTGTACCACTCCAAAATTATCATATGTAAAATACGTCAATTAAATTGTTTTCAAGAACCATTTGATAAGCTACATTTAAGTTAACAAGACTGGATTCTGAGTCCATATGCATATAAAACTTATATTTGAATGAATAAACAAGTGGATGTTTTACTAATAAAAACATCTCTCCATAGGAAAGTGCTTACAAAAATAAAACTACTAACTTCAATGGAGTAATGGGACAGACATCTTCTCTAGGTGAACAAAGCCAACATCAGCAATATAAAGTGAAACAACTTCCTTTGGTTTCTGTTATGTTGGCTGAAAATTATACCTCAGCAACTGTGGAATCTCTGCCAACAATAAATCAAATTGTGAAATATATGAGGTAAACTTCAAATGATGGACTTTCTCCAAATTAACTTGCCTAACCCTTCAAAAACACCATCAAGAAAATGATGGAGGTGGAGAAATCATTCTGGATTAAAGGAAACAATAGAAACTAGACAGCAAAAAGCAATCCATAATATTGGCCTTAATGGGGGGGGGGCAGCTTTTTAAGGATCTTAAATGAAAAACAGAACAAATTTAAATATGAACTATGGATAACATATTAACAATATAATTAATTTTCTGATTTTGATCATGATACTGTACTTATAGAAAAGAATGTCCTTGGTGGTAGAATATTTAAGGGCAAAGAGGACCCATGTCTACAGAACAATTCAAATTTTTCAAGAGAAGAAAAGAAGTATGATGAAAGTGTGAAAAAATGGCAAGGGCAGATGCTGATAACTGGCAACAACTAAAACTTGATGTTTTCAACTTACAGATAATTTCTGGAATACCAACAGTTTTCAGGCTGTTAGTAACAATGTCACAAGAAATGCAGTCCTTTCAGGGAAGTAAAGGCTGGGGGAGAAAAGGAATCTCTGAAATACTAGATTATGTCACTGTTAAAACACAAAATTCAAATAAGTAAATTTTAAAGATTTTATTGATTTTGTTCATCGATTCACGAATTGGGCAGCAACCAATCTAGCAAATAGAAAGGAGCTCCCACGAGCTGTACAAAATGAAAGACTTTTTAAATATGCCGAATGGAACCAGAGAGTTATATTAGAAAAATAAAGCAGCTTGGTTATTGCAATGTCACATTACTTTAGGGGATGGCATGGGTCCATCAGGCAGATGACCTAATTAGTGCCAAACGGGAGTTTCCTGATCGACTAGTTTAAGATTCCATGTCTGGGAGAGCAGAAACTATCATTAAGTCTCAGTCTGGTGACATGGGACTTAGTGTTAAGTAACTCCATTTGGGGCCTCGTCTTAACATCTCTGTCCCTGAGAAATCACAGTGATAGTGTGCCTTCCCCCACTTCCTCCTCCTTTTCAGCCACAAATGGTTTGGAAATGCAGCTTCTTTACAGAGATCAAAGAGAAGTGCCCGGGGCACTGCAGCTGGAGCTCGAAACCCACTGAGCACTTGCCCCAACTAAATAGTATTAATAACGAGAAGCCACCGCCTTGAGACTTTTATTTATACCGTCTCGTTTAATTCTCAAACTACTGTATTAGCAAGGTAGTAACGTCATCCCAGTTTTACACAAAAACATCGGAGACAGATATTTAGGTAATTCATCTGATGTTTCGCAGCGGGAAACCGCAGACCCAACCAAAGCTGCGCGGCCTGAGGAGGCGGAGAGCGTCGGAGATGCACTGCCAGCCTGTCCCCAAAGCAGAGGCGCTCCGCTAAGAGGAACGCCGGCCACCCAAGCCCCGAAAGCACCACTTTCCGATACAACCTCCTGCTCCTAAATCAGTGGCCGGGTGGTACCAGGACCCAGGGAAGTTCGTAAAGTTAGCCAACGGAACCGACTTACCACAGCCACGGGAATGCACGCGGTAACCTGGACGCTGGAGCGAAAGCGCTACGCTGGTTAATACACTTCCCAGAATTCCCCTGTCCCGGCTGCCAATACGGAAGTATTCGAGTCTCCACCGCATCTGTGGACTACATTTCCCAGAAAGCCAAAGGGGAACGCCGCCGCATTCTCACTCTCCTCAGGCGACAGTGCTTAACACTCCTCGGAGATGCTGCACAATTTCCCACACAACCCGTTGGAACAGGGTTGGCTCTGTGGGCCTCAGGGCGGTAATGCCCGTAACCACTCGGAGGGCTGGTGTTACCCTCTTCTGAATCAACAGGCGGAAAGTTTTCCTATTAGGCATTACTCCCTAAAGTCCATATGTCTTCAATTACTGCAGTATTGTTGGCGAAGTGAACAATGGGCCACGAGATTAAAAATTAATCTCAACTGGAAAATGTTGAATTTAGGGGCAGTAGGGAGATGAAAGAAGGAGGTAAATTTTAGTATAATCTTTGTTTTAAGATTTTATTTATTTTTAGATAGAGGGGAAGGGAGAGAGAGAGGGAGAGAAATATCAGTGTGTGGTTGCCTATCTTGCACCCTCTATTGGGAACCTGGCCCGCAATGCAGGCATGTGTCCTGACTGGGAATCGAACCAGCGACCCTTTGGTTCCCAGGTCCGCAGTCAAGCCACTGAGCCACACCAACCAGGGCAACTTTTGGTATAATTTTAATTGAGAATTAGAGCTGGGGAATTGAAGAATAGGCGAGATAGAATGGTTTTGGAGAGACAATGATGTACAAAGATATTAATCTCTTCTCTTGCCATACTAGTACCAGTGGTTTGGTAGGATATAATACTACAATCAAGAATCATATGTAAAGTTACTAAACACTGTTAGTCAAAATGAAAATTCAAATTAATATGACATTACTACATTCTCACAAGAAAAACTAAAAGGCAAAAACTTAGCAAAATGCCAACACTGTCATACCGCTCTTTGTACCATAAATTGGGACAGCCATTTTGGGACATTTTAGGCATCTACCAAAACGAAAGATACTCATATGCCATAATCTTTTGGTTCAACCTGTACACACATTTCTCAAATTAATATATCCATACATTCAGCCAAAGACATTTTCCAGAAGCTCATACCAGGACTATGTTTAAGAACCAAGCAGGGGCCTACCCAACGATCATCTGTAATAGAATGGATTATTGGTAAATTTACATATTGTAAAAATAATCCACTAATGAGATTGAATGAAATTCAGGTTTATAAATTCAAATTCACCTATATTTGAATTTCATAAACATAGTGTTGAGGAAATGAAGTTTGACTCAAAATAGTAACTACTGTATGATTTCATTGTGTAAAATAAAAAAAAACAGGCTCAGCAAATCTATATAAATAGTTGTATTACTTTAAAGCTACTGAGCATGTGGTCTCCCATGATTTTCCTTCATTGGCCACCAGAGAAGGGATCGCACAATATTACCGAATGGACCCCCCTCTCCTGGGGTCCCTCTGTACTAGGTTTGCCTTGCCCACCACCAGGAAATTATAGCTTCCCATGTCAGAGACTGGTGAAAAGGAAAGGAACTATTTATTCAAAAGTTATACAGACTTGAGAGCAATGTCTTAATGTCTTCATTAAAACCCCAAAGTCCCTTAAAACACCCACAAACACACACAGTCCTTCTTTCTCCCCTTTGCCCAATCTGGGGTACCGTATCTCAGGAAAATAAATAGAAGTCCATGGCCCAGGCAGCCTCCAATTCTTCCTAGTAATCCGTGTTTGACTTGTAGACCTCCCTCAGTTCCCAGCACCATCAACTATGTCACCAAGATCTCCAGTTCTTAAGCCAAAACCACGTGGCACCTTTTCCTGGCTCACCAGCAAGAGTTCCTTCACCCCTTTCCTTCCCATAGCATCTCTCCTGCATTCTTCCAAACTGCTAAGAGAGAGCTCTGCCTCACTGCTACACCTTGCTTCCAGCTTCCTAAGCTGCATGACAAAAGGAGACCCAAAGCCATGTGGTTCTTGTCCTGGCTGCCACGCTGGGGTTTAAATCCCAGTGCCATTCTTCCTCAGCAGCCCCATTTCCAACTCCTTCCACAATAAATGCTAGCATTCCCATATTTTTCCAGCGTTTCTGGGCTGCCATAGCAATTCTGCACAGATGTGGCCCTGTGGCATTGAGCCAATCATCTCCAAGGTCTCACCAGGCACTGTAACCAGGGGGAGTTGCCTCCCAATTACACCCGGGGTGGAAGTCACTTCCATCTCCCTGGTTCAAAGCATGGGCACAGCTATTTAACATATCCATGAAACCAGTTAAAAGTTATAGATACGTTAAATAACCACAGCTCAGGTTAATTACAAAACTGTTGCTATGCAGAATGACTCTCAATGGCCTGCTCCATGTGTCCCATCCCCCAGTTCAGACTTATGGGGGTAAGGACATCCCATCTTTTTAATATTTCCTGGACACCCTGAGTTCTGGACCCCATTACAAATCCTCCTTTGCGGGGGGGGGGGGGGGGCCCTGGCTGCATCCTCTTACAAAGAGGCAGAAAGATGGTTTGAGTTTAAAATGCCACTTTTATCCTGGCTGGTGCGGCTCACTGGATTGAGTACCAACCTGCAAACCAAACGGGCACCAGTTGGATTCCCAGTCAGGGCACATGCCTAGGTTGTGGGCCAGGGTCCCCAGTAGAGGGCCCACGAGCGGCAACCACACATTGATGGTTCTCTCTCTTTCTCCCTGCTTTCCCCTCTCTTTAAAAATAAATAAATATTTTTTAAAATGCCACTTTTTTTCTCTGCATTGAGAGGCAGGCCCAATTGTTCCCAGGATTTCGCAGCTCCCTGCTCTCCAGGAGGGGAATATAGACTGTCTTACAGTCTATGGGTGGGAGGGTGAGGGTGAGATTTTCTTCCTCCTTGTATACTTGTTTACTTAAAGTGGGCACGGTGGGGCCAAGCCTAATTCCAAAGAGAGTTGAATGCAGGACTTGGGTTAGGCAGGTCAGGAATAGTGTCACCTCCTGCTGAGCGCGTGACCTCACCGGGTTAGAATCCTGCTCAGCTGGAAAACAAATACAGCAATTACTCTGTAGCAAGATAGACAAAAGTAGGGGAGGGGAGGGGGTGGTAGAGTGAAGCAAATTTGAACAAAAGGCATAGTTAGGCGAAAGAGGCCTGGAATCCCCACTGCAGGTTAAAAATCTTGTCTCCTTCTGAGGACTAAACGTAAGGAGGGGATCAAGATGACGACAGTGAAGGTCAAGTTGAAGGATAGTATTTTAGTTAAGAGATCGGTTCATGGGCCAGAGTTCCTGGTCGCCCAGTTTGTACTGAGGCCAGGCCGTGTTACAACAAAGGATCAAGCACTTGGGTTTGAAGTCTGTAAGTCCCAGAGCTTTTAAATTGTATCCTAACTGACAGGGGACTCAAGACTTGGAAAATTTTAGCTTAAGGTAAATCTAGCAGGTAATGTGTATGTTAAGCTTTCGTTTCAGAAACTACAGATAAGGCCCATCCTGGCACCTGAGAAAAGCAGCCGACCTCCTGGGGCATTGGCTAGAGATTACTGCCCGGAGACTTCCATACCAGGAAGAAGCAGGCAACTACCCCCCCCCCCCCGCCCCCCAGACAGCTAATTGCCCAGGACAGGAATGTTGCAGCTGCTGAATTTCAAAGCCCTTACCGCACCTTGCTTGTTCTCCCCCACCCACCTTATAAAAGATCTGGCCAGGAAAGAGAAGGCAAGATGGTTTGTTAGGGTATGAACCCGCCATCTTCTCGGATTGCCGGCCATCTGAATAAAGCGCCCATAAAAGATTCAATTGCTGTCATTGCTTATTGGATTTGGTAGTGACAGGCAGCCTGAACGCCAGTGTCTTTTCCAGTTACACAACAGCGAGTCCTTGCTTGGGTGGGACTGATTGAGTGCTGCCCATTTTAAAAAGGAGGGAGATCTCAGGGATGAGAACAAACAAGGGGTGGGGTGAAGGAGGTTTAAGGATGGTGTCCTTACCTCACACGATCTAGAGATCTGCCACCAGAGTCAAGCGTCCTCGAGCCTGAGGTCAGACCAACCACTAAGATGCATCTCAGAGTCAGGTGTCCCTGGGCCCTGAGAGCAGACCGAACCAGCAGGGAGACAGTTGGAAGTGTCCCTCCCAGCTAAAACCATGGGAAAGTGATAGACCCAGGACCTGGGTTTATGACACCTAGGCAGGGTGGAGGGGGCTAAGCTATTACTTATGTTCGTTCTGAGAGTCAGGGAGACTTACCAATTGCTGACCGTGGGAGGGTGAGGAGGAGGCTGTCTGTAGAGTCCAGAGAGATGGAAAAGAATTAGAATCCTCTTTCCAAACCTCGAAGATACAGCGTTAGGGGGCTGGCCCGACTTGACCTCCCGCTGCCCACTGCTCCCCTAGTCAAAAGTCTCAGGAGGCAGAGGAAAGGGAGAAATAGAGAATGTCCCCAAACAGGTCACACAAAAAAAGAGAATGTCTTCGTAAGGACCACCAAATGTTAGGGTGGTCAGTTATGTGGGCTGTGAAAGAATTCACGAAGAGAAGAAACTGTAAGCCCTGGCTGGCGTAGCTCAGTGGATTGAGCACGGGCTGCAAACCAAAGTGTTGCAGATTCGATTCCCAGTCAGGGCACATGCCTAGGTTGCAGGCCATGGCCCCCAGCAACCGCACATTGATGTTTCTCTCTCTCTCCCCTCTCCCCCTTCCCTCTCGAAAAATAAGTAAAATTATTTTTTTAAAAAAAAGAAGAAACTGTAGAGTCAAGTTTTTATTCACTCCCCAAGAAAGGAGTGACTTGGAGAGACACCCCAGCACTGAGGGGATTTGAGCTTTTACTGGATTGCAATTGGATCACAGAAGGGTGGGGAGGGGTGTGATCCCTGGGCTGTTCTGGGATTGCCACAGGAGAGGTTTTGGGTGGTTTTGTATAAACTGCAGTTTGCTCCACCAATGTTATCTTTTGCCTGCAGCTGTGGGGCAGGGCAGTTAGTCATCTATTCTCGTTGTCCAGTAATTTCCAGTCCTGGGGA